AACAACTGATAAGTACAGTGTGGAAGAATCACAGACATCATGTGATCGATCCATTTCTGAGCATACTGGTGCTGCTGACGAAAGTGTTACAAAAAAACCTGTTGAAGTGCCTGAGAAAAGTGATTATTCCTCTGCTTCTGTGGAGCAATCATCTTCATATACCAAGAAGGAGAAAATTATGCATCCTCAAGCATCTGGGCAGTCATCTCCTTCTACAAGCGCATTCAACTCAACTGAGTCTTCACATGAACCTCCGAGTAGTGCATACCCTCCTATCAATTCATTTCCAGAAGTTACTACGCAAGGGATGCTTCAACAGGTGACCATATTCAACTAATTTATGTTGTGTGCACTGTGGCTACCTTGACTAGATGCTTCTGGCACTTACAGTTATATTTGTTTTGTTGAATGCATAGCAACAATTTAGTGAAGCATTTTCCCCATTCCAAGTCATTATCTGTTTGCATGTTTTTTATGTTACAATTATTGTGTACTGCTACTACTGCACTTCCAAATTTTAATGTTAGCTATATGTTGCTTAGCTATTTTGTTGTGAGATGATGTCCTTTACAAGTAGTGTGTCTGGCATGTTAACCAGAATCCTGATTTTATCAGTGTTATTAGTTTTTTTTGAGTAAAGTCCATCACTGGTCCCTAAACTCGCAAATCGACCGTTCAGGTCCTCAAACTTGTTCGACTGTCATCCCGGTCCCTAAACTTGCAGATCACTCGTTTAGGTCCTCCAACTTGTTCAGTTGTGTCACTCCGGTCCCTAAACAGGACGGTCTAAAAACTTTATATTAGAAAATAATTCATAACTTTTTCATGTAGCCCTCGACGCGACCTACAACTTTGTAGTTGAAAAGTTTTTGAATTAAAACTGTTTAGGGTCCCAAAATATTGTTGCATGTTTATAGATTTTGAAATTTTAATTTTAAAATTACATTTTGGGACAAAAAGTGACTTAAAATAAAAAAAGTTCAACTACAAAGTTGTAGATCGCGTCGAGGGCTACAAGTTTGATATAAAGTTTGTCTTCATTAGAGTTCACATGAAAAAGTTATGAATTATTTTTAAATATAAAGTCTTTAGACCGTCCTATTTGACCCAGATGATATTCAAATCCAAGTTTAGGGACCGGGGTGATACAACTGAACAAGTTGGAGGACCTAAACGAGTGATCTGCAAGTTTAGGGACCGGGATGACACAGTCGAACAAGTTTGAGGACATGAACGGTCGATTTGTAAGTTTAGGGACTGGGATGACACAACGGTACAAGTTTAGGGACCGGTGATGGACTTTACTCTTTTTTTTTTTTGTTTTACTACAAGGTGTGGATAGGCATTATATAGTTTTCTTAGGAAGACCAGTGAATCCTGGTTGGGTCTAGTTTGGTTATTAGCCTAGGCCAAATAGGTCCTACATGTTCTATACCATCTATTTGGGTAGGTGAGATCTAGCCTAGCTTTTAATGCCCACAACATTTTTCTGGTACTAATCTATGAGAGAGTTTTCCCAGTTGGATCTGTTTCCATTGTTTGAACCAGAAATCAAGTACCCTGAATAGGCTTTTAGAATCCAGAGGAATCCTCATTCTTATTAGCACTAAAAGTATTTCAGGGCTGCCTTTTGGAAAGCAAGCTGCTCAACTCCACTTGGATTGGATGGGCTGGAATCTGTTGATTCATTTAGAGGCCAAGTTTCACCTTCCATCTGGATGAGCTGAAATCATACCTGATTTTTGCTCTATCTGAATTGGGCCTTAGAGATCACAAACTATATCTCATTGCCCCCAATTTATCAGCATGTAAAACATATTTCAGAAGAATAGAGGAACCATAAAAAATCACATTTTTTTTCTTGGTTTCATATAAAACAAGCAACAATGCTTGCTTAATTGAATTCAGCTCTATGGAATTACAATAGTGTAATTCCATCTAGTATTACGCCATCCTGCGCAGTTCCATGATCTTGACATTACTGTCTATTGTTCATGTAAATTAAGTTTCCTTTTCGAGAATAAGCAAAAAAACATCACTTGTTATTTCACTTAGTTAATTTTGACTTGTTTATTGCATGATCAATGCTACTGAAGGACAATATTGTAGGTTAACTATATGCCTTTCAGCTGCAAGTTAGAAGGTATAATTGCAAGTTCTCAGATTATTTACTGTGCACGTTTGTGTCTTGCAGCTCATAGCAATGCATAAGGACTTGCAAAAGCAGCTGGGTACTATTGTTGTTGCACCTCTTGCAAAGGAAGGCAAAAGAATTGAGGCATCATTAGGGCGCACCATGGAGAAATCTATCAAGGCTAACCTTGATGCCTTGTGGGTTCGTATCCAGGAGGAGAATGCAAAACGAGAAAAGGCTGAAAGAGAGCGAATGCAGCAAATGATTACTCTTATCACTAATTCAATAAGCAAGGACCTTCCTGCTACTTTGGAGAAGTCACTGAAGAAAGAAATTTCTTCACTTGGACCTGTTATTGCACGGGCAATAACACCTATTATCGAGAAGTGTTCAGCCTCTGCAGTTGCTGATTCAATTCAGGTTCTGGCTAATTTCTTGTTGTGAATCTTGTTCTGCATGTTGTCATCACTCATCTGACGTTTTGCTTTCAGAAAGTGGTTGGTGACAGAGTGGTGAATCAGCTGGACAAGTCTGTTAGTGCAAAACTTGAAGCTACTGTTGCTAGACAAATCCAAATGCAGTTCCACACATCTGTAAAACAGACCCTTCAGGTATTTACTCTTTGTTCATTTATTTTTATAGATGGCTGTCAAGCAGCAGTTGAACATAATATAACATTGCCACTTGGTGGATTTCTCTGTCTTGATTGATTGTTTCATCTATTACTGTTGCCACTTGGTGGACTTTTGTGTTTTGGTATATATTTTCATCCATTCCGGAGATATAGTGCTTGCTGTTAAGGCCTGTTTCTTCATCTTCTCACTGTCTCACCGACAAATGCCTTGCTGCCTTCTGAAAAGGCGCTCAAATTGGTTTTAGCTTTCCTGCACGAATTGATTAGCCTTAAATGGTTTCTTGCAGGATGCTTTACGTGCTAGCCTGGAAGCTTTCCTTGTTCCAGCGTTTGAACAATCTTGCAAGACAATGTTTGAGCAAGTCGATAGCGCATTCCAGAAAGGAATGTCTGAACACACTGTTGCTATTCAGCAGCAAGTTGAGGCAACACATACCCCATTGGCGCAAACTTTAAAGGTAAAATTTCCCAACTATTAGTTGTACACTTGTATGTAAGATGTCAGGGCACAGGTAGGTTTAAGGTGCTAATGTCCTTTCCAGTTATGGTAATACCATAACAAACGACTAATATTCGTCTACTTGAGTTAATTTCCAGGATACCATCTCTTCTGCGTCTTCGATCACCCAGAATCTTACAGCAGAGTTGCTTGATGGCCATCGCAAACTATTGGCGCTGCTTGCATCGGGCAATGCAAAAGCACATAGTACAAACGTTTTGCAGCCCAACAATGTCCCTGTGACTGGTCCACCGGAGGTGCGAAATACTTGAAATATTTTTAATGCTCCAGATAATGAATTTTTGTTTTTTATTAAAAAAATCTGATGACTTGTCTAGTTTAATTTACTATTCATCTCTGACATGTCTATTTGGGTATGAGAATGATAGTTCTTCCTGACTCTAGTATAACCTGACGTATGAAAGAACAAGCTTATTTATATAATTCACATGTGCATTGCTTTTTTTGTTTTGTAAAAAGGTTGAGGCTCCATTAGATCCAATGAAGGAGTTGGGCAGACTGATATCTGAACGCAAATTTGACGAGGCATTTACAATGGCTCTTCAAAGAAGTGACGTGTCGATAGTGTCTTGGTTGTGCTCTCAGGTATCTTCCTCTTCCCTGAATTGTTCACCTTATGTGGAGCTACCAGCTATGTTTATTTTCTGATAATTATACTACTCAACAGGTTGATTTGCGCGCATTGTGCTCAATGGTCCCCGTCCCCCTTAACCAGGGGGTCCTCCTAGCCCTATTGCAGCAGCTAGCAGTTGACATTGCTACTGATACGCCGCGGAAGATTCAGTGGATGACAGATGTCGCTATGGCGATAAATCCAACCGATCCGGTGATCGCCATGCACGTGAAGCCTATTTTCGAGCAAGTCTACAATGCATTGCTCCACCTACGCTCGCTCCCCACCACCAGCCCATCAGACAGCACCAGCATCCGCTTATTCATGCATGTAATTAATTCTGTTCTGCTTAGCTACAAGTGATTCTAGGCATCTATTGAGGTTCTGGAACTGAGATGCATGGTCTACTACCGTTGTATAGAGAAATTTTGGTAAGCGAAGGAAACCCAATAGGGCATTCCATTGCCTATGAGGCTGTGACCGAGAACACTAGCAGGAGGGTGGAAGTGCCCCTTGCTGTAAACTAGGCTTGTAACAGTCTTAATTTGGAGTATTTCAATATCCAGTTTAGTGTCTACTAGTTCGCCCTCTTGAGCCAGTAATGCTCAATCAGGCACACAACTGTAGCCCCTGCAGCTTAAGATGGTAATTTGTAGCGGCCGCTTTACCGTGAGTGACAATTTCCACTCAAAATTTTGTAGTTCAAAAAGATAAATGTTTCCTTGGCAAGTTGTTTTGTCGCTCCGGCTTACAGTGTTCTTGTCCCATTTCCTGCAGCATTTGCGTTGCAGCTCTAGTGTACTCGTTAATTTTCCTGTTTGCAGAAAGTCACGGGCAGTCTGCATCAGATGCTTAGACTCGAGAAGGCCTCGAAGTATATGCATCAGATGAAGCATCCGGACTGCGATTGCACAAAAGGCAAAGTCTGCATCAGATGACCGAAAGCAAAAGGCCCGTGCAAACATTGATGCTGCTGCTGTGCACTATCCTGTTTTAAACTGTTCAATGCCCAGTGAAAATGGTTACCTGTAGGGTTCACCATACTTCAGACTAACAACTGAGGTGCCGCAAAATGCAATACATTTGTATGACAACGGAATACCGACATCAATTTTGCTCAACGATTAGTGTGCGATAAACAGTACAACCACAAAAATGTTACAAGTTACAAAGTCTCTTCAATCCGAGTTATCCCAATTATCATCCTTAGATCGAAGTCTTAAAAAAGTTCAAAAATACAAGCTCAGGGCCTTTATATCAAAACCCCAGATATCAGTTCATAGCAATACACAAACCACATAGCTACCACCAAACCATGCACAACCCAATATATAGCCCAACACCCTACGTTGCCATAACCAGACCCCTCGGTAGGCGGTAGCAGGAATACACAACTCCAGATATATGGTATTATCAAGTACGGGCCGCTCCGATGCTGGCGGTGCGAGACCGTTTTTGGGCCATCAGCCAGCAAGGCAACCCCATAGGCATACTTCAGCATCGGTCTCAGAATAGACGATTGGTCCTCCCATCATGAACACTTGCTCACTTACCCCCTTGTCTTCGCCCTCTTCATTCCAAGGCTGTTGTGGAAAGGGGAAGCTGAGCCAGATCTTTGCATCCCTTCTTCACGGAGGGTGCCATTGAGCATGGCGAGTTCCCGGAGCTGCTGCTTCTTGAAGAAGTCCTGAGACTCGTCCTGCAAAAGAAGGAAGTTACTTCTAAGGCATTCGTTCTGTAAAATGATTCGTGGGTTCTCAGATCGTATACAAGGTGGATCATTTTAAGAGTTCAAAGAACAGAAATGTTCAAAAGCACAATACCACAGGCTTCAGCAGATCTTCAAGGATATCACGGGCTTGGATCAGACGGGTATCAATAATTTCAACAGGCAGTTCTGCCTCAACCAATATGTGCAGGGGTTCATTCAGATGTTCATAACCTGGTTTCCCTCGCATCATGTCCTCCTACAAAACATTAGCATAAGTGCACTAGCAAAAGTGAACACCGAGCAGGTAAACTCTAATGAAAATACAAGAGATGCATCAGAAAGGAAAATAAGACCAACCAAAGTAATAGATGGTACCAGTTGGAAACATACAGGTTTTGGGGAAGCTGGAACAGGTTTTCTATGACATTAAATCAAGGAACTATTTGCTATGTTTCAAGAGAATATATATATATTTGTGATAATTCAATCTTTAGTCCACCATTCAACAAAAAAAACTTGCTTAAAATGCAATAATCAATACATAATTCTCCAAATTGTCCACTTTATCTAACGAGATAAAAAGCACGGTATATTAGTATCAGGAGTTGTACCCGAGCTGGATCTTTAATGCTTCCCCGACCTCTTATAAGCACACGGCAGTCGGTGGTTGCTTCCACTCGCTTCAAAGAATTTCCTCTAGGACCAAGGATGCGGCCAACGAAATTGAACTGAGAAAAATAAACACAGGTGCACATGAGGATGAAGCCATAAATGATATAGCTATTCACGACTATACCAACTACAAAAAATAGCACACTTACTGTGGGATATTTGTCTACTGGGATATCAACCTTCATGGTTTTCTTAACAATTAGTCCAGAGGAACTGCCTTGAGAACCTCCACGCCAGCTATAAGCTGGTGAACCCTGCAATGGTCACAGTTTGATTATTTAAAACTTGTTCAAATAGGAGCATTCGATACAGAGCAATGGAGTAGCTTTGCATTCAATGATAGAAAATGCAGAAATTTAAATCCAAATGTAAAAATAGATTAAACTACAGATGATTTAGGAGCATTCTGAAGAGTTATAGGACTAAACTTAAAAAGTGCAATATTGTGCCCAACTACTTCTGGGCGTATATATGGGTTCCATTGACAAGCTAGTTACCCCAAAAGATGACAAGATATTTATGATCTATAAGACAATAAGGATAGTTTTATGACAACTCATTTTATATCTATATTATAAAGATTGGTAAGGGAATCACTATTTTGCCAAATCAGATACTTACAAGCCTCATGAATAATTATCTGAAACTGATCTGAATTCTGAAGTGCAGCACAAAATATAAAATAACAAATAACATTGTTAGAGCAATTAGTTGACTCTGATGTTAGCATGGCAACTAACTAATTGGTTAGAATTTCTTCCTATGGACCAAATTAGTGGATTAGTGTCAGCATGTTATCCAAACTCCACTAGTTGCAATAAAGAGAAGGATTTAATGCCATCTTTTGAACCCACTGCCTGGAAGGGATAACAAAGTTAGCAAATTAGCACAAGGAAGAAGCAGTACCAAGCATGTAACCGGCTTCAGTAGTGTTAAAATCAGTTAGAAAAAACCTAACCTAAGCTTTAAAAATGGTAAATTAGGCATGAAGAGTAAGTTATGTTAAATGGTCAGTATCCATACTTCTGATTGAAATGCTGATGTCCACCCATTCATATCAGCTGCTGCTCCATTTGAATATAATCCTCCAGTTGTTAGTGGACTACCATGTTCAAGGCCACTTTGATTTAAAAGGGACGCGTTCTCCAATAGTGTGGAAACACGTAAAATTTCTGCTCCAACATTGCAATTTCAAGCACAAGATATAGAAAGTTAGCAGTTAGAATTAGTGATTAGTAAATGCATACATATACCTGATGGGTTAGTTTAATCATTTAACTCTCTCTCCTTTACACTAAAAAATTAACAGTTATAACAGTGTCAAACTGAATCCATGTATAGTTAGTTGTATAGCTACAAAAATTTTATCCTGAGAAGTTATGCCAATCAAACAAATGATTATCACGCACAATGTAAAAAAAAAAGAGTAGCAGAAGAGATACTAGAACAGATAAAATTTATGAAAACAAAACAAAAGATGTGTGTTCAAGCAGACAAATGGAAAAAATACCAAAAGGTATGTTCAACATATTATTTAAGAATTACGAATATGATTTGTAATTATTTGTCCGTTCACAGGTATAAATGCAAGAAAACTGGCTTTCATCCCACTAAGTTGGAGTTTGTCTAGTGGACATATCAAATTTATAATATACTCAAACCACAGATGGTACCCATCAGGAGAGATATGCCACTACAATTTTTAGTATTCCCACACCAAGCTCCAGCTTAGGGGTGTTTGGATAAGGTTAAAAGATAATAGACACAAAAATTACTATCATAGCATCCTAAATTCAACCAAAACAGGTCAGAATTTGAACCCTGCATTCAAAAATCACAAACTATACTCCATTCTAACCTCACATTGAACAATCCAGATCTAGATCTCTGAAACAGCATTTGGCATTATCTTCAAATGAGGCAGAATTCAGTTCTGTGAAACAGCATGCTCCTTGAACTATTCTGAATGAGCTCAAAAGGAACCATAATAGTCCAGAAAACCCTGGGCAAAGTTAGAGAAGGTATCTAGGGCCAAGCTAAAACAAGTAGGTTGTGTACAAGGTAAGCTTAAAGAATTGAGGCCAATGTGTGGCATGGTAGAGAGGAAGATTGATAAGAATCAAAATTTACAACAGAGAGGAAGAAAACATAAGTTAATTGTTGATTACCAAGTAGGGATTGCTTGGCAGTCTCAAAACCGATAGCTACTCATTTTTTACACAATATGAATTCATGGTAAATCTATTCTTAGGCAGTCTGGTAGAGTAAAGAAAATATTAACACAAACTACAGCATGAAGCAAACACAGATGTGCACAAGCCACAGGAGTCAAAGATTCCCACATCGCAACAGAATATTCCGCGTGTGGAAGAAATAGCAATCAACCAGTATTATCACTCATTAGTTCAGTTGTATCATGGCACAGATGGCATGGGTATATGAGGGCTCACCTTGATTCAGCAGCCGTACACTATTAGGGAGCACTGGGATGAACGGGCTCAGCTTGTGCCGCTCCGCTAGCAGCTCCGCGAGGTACCTACAAATGACCAGCACAAACTCATCATTCGTCATCCTTGTGATACAATACACGCCTACAACTAACTCAGCTTTGATCTCTGTAATACTAAGCAAAAACACTGAGACCTCCCCCCAAAAACAAACGAGATAAGCACCAAAAGTCAGTGCGATGATCACCGACCTCAGCAAACGCTGAATCGAGCATCCCACTTGTTCGACACAGTCAAAATGAAGTGGAGCTACCACAAACGGGAGATCTCGCCGCGGGGGAATCAGATCCGATGCTAAAAATTCCTTAAACCCGACATCAGATTCACGCCACAAAAAAAACCTTGGGGGGAATCTCACAGCACGTAGAATCCACGCTGGAACCGGCCGAATCTGCCACGATCGCAGCCGAGCCGCACGCCTTCCGAAGGCCGCCACGGCGGCGGCGGCGGAGGCTCGTCCCCCCATCCCCCGACAAGCGAAACGAAGCAGTGGAGGAAGGTGGCGTTGCTGAGCTTACTTCTCCTGGTCGGCGACGGCGGAGGAGGCGGCGCGGAGGCCGGGGATGCGCGGGGAGTGCGGGGTGGTGGAGGGCGAAGGCGAGTACGCCATGTACCGTCCCGACGCCATCCTCTTCCTCTTCCTCTTGCTACTCACTCACTCCCTCCTCCTCCGTCAACGGCGGGATCTCGCGGGGCAGCTCGACGCGATGGCGGCGGCGGCGGCGGGAGAGGAGGAGGAGGAAGAGGGGGGGGGGGGGGGGGATGAACTGGAGGATGGGGGGGGGGGGGGGGAGGCTTATATGGGGAGGAGGGGAGGAGCGCTTGGGTTGCCCTGCCCTGCCGCGCGTGATGGGCGTGCGGCGCGGCGGGTAAAAGGGAAGGGGGCAGTAGCGGCGCGCGGTAACAAACAAGTCAAGTGAATAGTAGCGGGGAGGGGGAGGCGACTCGGCGACTGTACAAGAGGGAGAGTGGCGGCGCTCGGTCTCCTGCTGCGGGTTGGTTCGGTGGCGGTAGGTAACTTTTTTTTCCTTTTTTTCCCGGGAGAAGGGGCGCTGGGTGGGGTGGGAAGGTGAGAAATTTAGGATGGGGGTTTGGGCTGAGAGACTGACAGTGGGGCCATGGTGTACCCTCAATCCAAATCTACACATTGTGGACCAGGGTTCACAAAACCGATTAACCCTTGATAGAAACCGGTGATACTTGATTTGTGAAAGCCGTCCGGTATTAGCCGATCTCCATACACATTAACACAAAGTTGTCGGTTTTTATATTTTTGGTTGTTTTTTTAAATTGGTGAGGAGCAGTTTTTACTTTGAAAAAAAAATAAACCCTGGTGTGGACATATTTTAAGGGTTTGGTAGTTTCTATCTTCAGCCTTCTCATGGTAGCCTTGTGAGTGTGCGAGTTTTTTTTTGTGTAGCTATATTTATGGCGCCATATTTTTCACCAAAAAATAGTCGGCATATATTTACATTGTAAGTTCCTAAATTACATATGTAATTTTAGTGCATTTACAATATAAATCTCAAAATTACATATGTAAGTCCTAAAATTACATATGTAAATTCGAAAATTACATACTAATTACATATGTAAGTGGGGTGTAACTACTATGTAAGTGGCTAAGAAAAATCATCTATAGCATATGCCATGAAGAGAAGTGAATCGGAGGGACGATATGGGCGTGGGAGAGATCTAGCTCAGCCGGCCGGCTATGCACGCGGACCACCATGGCACCATTGCGCGGCGAGGAGACAGCCAGCTCGATCATCTGGCGGTTGGTTTCAACCGACTGAAATCCATCATATTTTATGGCGACATATTTTTAGCAATCCCTTTTTTTTTGTCCTCGCAAAAAGAAGTTTCTAATTTCTTTATTTTTACTTTGCAAGCATGCAGTAACTACAGTCCATAGAAGCTACTAAATATTCAGATTTGTATTTTGATTTATTAGTGTAAGTCTGTACAACCAAATAAAAAATAGTTTCTTCTATTTTGAGTGTGTGTTATAGCTTAAAAACTACAAATAAAACATAGTTTTTTTTCTAAGTATAGTTTTTTCTTCTTATATATTTTTTTAGAAACACTACTAATGCATACGTTCACAACAAGTGTATACCTACTCCCATGAATACAGACACATACATCCTACTCCTATGAGCACAGCCAAAAGACTGAGCCGATATATCTTGAGAAGTTGAGATTGCTGAATTCATCAAGACGTCTCGTTTGTATTTTTCAGGGTTTGATTTTAAAATAGGTAAAAGCGTGATATTTTTATTAGTCTCGTCTCTCATGGTACTCTAAAGATAATTGCCTAATAATCACACTATTTTTACTTCTAATTATAGCTAAAGTTTAGTTTGAAAAACCATACCACCAAGTTAGGCTTTCCTAGCAGGATAAACTCACTATTATAGTCACTTGAATGTTAAAAAAATAATAATCTGAGTAGCTAATATATCAAACAAGCACGCAGTACGTGAATCCTTGTTCTTAAAGCACGTTGTATGAGATAGCTTATGCTTCATGTTTTCAAACCTTGAGCTTGAGAAGACACATATTTACTTCAGATGTGTTTAGATCTAAAGTTTGGATCCAAACTTCAATCATTTTCCATCACATCAACCTATCATACATACGTAACTTTACATAACTTTTCAGTTACATCATCTTCAATTTTAACTAAAATTCAAACTTTGCGCTGAACTAAACACAGCCTTCACCAGATGGGACAGGACCGTGGCAGCAGATTGAATTGACGAAAGTTCATTTTGCATTTCGCAGCTACTTCTGAGTTCTGAGTTCTGACCAGGTAAATAATAAGGGGAACGATTGCGACATATTATACTTAGGCATGCACAGTCTGCACAACATTCTTAATCTCCGTCTCTAGAATTGTACGCAGGGCTGTCAAATGCATCAACCTCCATCGCTACATAATAGCACGGTCTGATTATTCTTCAAATCAAAATAAATTTCTCCCTGTAATTAAGGAGAGAACAGAGAAAATCCACGTCACATCAGCAATTCAGCACAGTACCATTGCAGCGTATAAAATACATGTGGTGATTAGGTGTCTGATTGCCTCCTCTCCTAATCTCCTTGCATTTGCATAGGTGTTTCCAGTAATCACAGAAAGAAAATATATTAATATTTTTACAACAGACAGGGCACGCAGTACACACGTTTTCAACTGCTCAACATAATGGAAACACAAATGAACGAACCACCAGTATAGAACAATATATAAAATGTAACATCGACAAGAGACTTCAACGGATTACCGTAGAAAAAAAGAAAGCCTAAATACAGGGACAGCGCCGACGACTTCCATGCCTCATTGAACCATTCACGATTTCCAGTACATTAAGCAACTTCAAGATAACTATAGAAAAAAAAAACCCATTATATTGCAAAGAAACAATCACACGAAAAAGAATATAAACTTATCTTCTCTTAAGAAAAAAAAATGTAAAGTAATCCCGAATCACTGGCCACCCGTAGACGTCTGCCATTTGCCAAGAAATGTACCACACAAGCATGTAGGTTATGTGAGCTTGGAGTGACATCGATGGAGGGAGATGAGCAGATAACCACTACAGGCAAAGACAGGTTCAGAGGGATTACTCGACAAGGCAAGATGAATGGCGATAACCAAGCGGTCCGTCCCAATCAGCCAGGCTGTTCTTGGAAAAGGAAAAGGAGAGGGAGAGGAAAAAAAAAAAGATGAGAAAACGAAAGCGCTGTGATTTGATTGCTTCGCGAGAAAAGCGGGCAGAGAATCCGTCCCCCACAACATCTACTGATGGAAACGCCTGTGCTTAGTGTCCAGTACTCCAGTGCCAAGTTGGTCCTGGTTTCCAGAATCTGAATTTCTGAAGTTCATCAACCCTCAACTCTTTTTTCTTTTTACCATTTTATCTTCCCTCGACTCCTATTAAATATTGGTGCGATCAAGTTTAATCTGATTGATTTAAGGGTATTTTACTCACATATGATAAAAAACAAATCAGAAATTATTTGTTTTTTTATCATATTTCTGAATCTGATTCTGAATCAGAAATTATTTGATTGTTGGTCAAACAAGTCAGAATCTGAATTTCTGAAGTTCATCAACCCCAACTCTTTTTCTTTTTACCATTTTATCTTCCCTCGACTCCTATTAAATATTGGTGCGATCAAGTTTAATATGATTGATTTAAGGGTATTTTAGGATGCAAGTGGCTGTAGACGGAGGAAGAGCCAGTTTGCAGTTGTTGTTATGTGCTGCATTTTGTTTAATTTTTAGGGTCATCTAGAATCATGGTTATGAAAAATTAAAGTACAGTAATTTGTTTGATAGTTTCTGTTATCCAACTGTTTCTTCTGTGACATTTGTCCAATTTCTCAAAACACAACAATTTCTCTGTTTGCAACTTCGACTATTAAAACGGTTAGGCCAAAACACAACAAAAACATATATATAGAAACATTTGCACAAAATGGTATTATCATAATTCACTTCAATACAAACTTAACCAAAGTATTATGGAGCACCCCAACCTTAAGCTAGCAGAAAGTGAAGTTTAAACTTTACCTGTCTTCGCTCTGGCTGGCATGACAATGAAACTATATGTGCCTTATTTCCTCGCTGGTCTCATGACACAGCAAATGAAACTTCTCCCCATATGACAAGATGTCTCAGGTTAGTAGATCACGATAGAGCACCTTTCACTTCAGGGAGGTTCAGGCATCACAGATTGATCAGACCTGCATTAGTAAATCATTAGTTATATAGTTCAGTAGTTTCCACAACATGGGTAAAATTCAATCGTAGGGACTGAAAACGACCTGAATAAATGAGATCGATAGCTGCCCCAAAGGTTCAAGCAGAGGACACAAGTGGACATAATCATTCCTAAAGGTGTCCAGAAAAGTGCCAACTCAAAACAAAATGTTAGTTGCAACACTGGAATGCAGTGCAGGTATCCAATGCTACCAATTCTGGTTGGTAGTTATTATAGGTTTCAGCAAGGGCCCCTCCACATTGTAGGCTGTCACTTGCCTACCTGTACCTGAGTTTAGTGATTTGTTAAGAAACCCAGCATAAGAGCTGATACGGCGCAGATGCTGGAGAAATATATTATTGGTAGGTTGCTCTTGAAGAAAACAAATGTACATAAAATGGGGCCAGAGATGGATATAAATCATATATGCAGTAAGTGTACGTTTCACCAGATGATCCTGAAAATTAGTCTGCTGCAGTACTAATTACTCTTAGCCATGACACCTCCAATGGTGGCCTAACCTGACAAATTTCCACGTTAAATGAATGAGAGTTTTCGTTTTTCTAAAAAAAGAATGAGAGCAAACTACCAACAATGTATGTGCCTGTGAACATGCTTATGGTTTGTAGCCTTCTGGAGCAAGTTGATCGTCCCCTATGCATAGCTTCAGTTAATTTCTGGGTGTCACTGTCAGCTACTCTTGATGTAGTAATAGCACTGTATTTCTTCGGTTGGAAGCCTGAAGTATTCGGAACTGAACTTGTAAAATCTGGAAAAATGCATATTCTTTAGCTGCAAAATCACTCTGAAGATAAACAAGTGAGAGTTGCTTGGATCAATAGCAGAAGTTGGCAGGTTGCCTTCCCCATACTCCTTTCACGGTGATGCAAGTACATGTTGCAAAGGTACTTCCATAGTAAAATGTTGTAAAATGAATGACATAAAATAAGAGAATTATTTACAGATTGATTCAATAGATTTATATTATAACAATAGTGCGCAGAGAATCAGTAAGGAAACCATGCAATAAGATTTCTTTTGACAGAAAACCAGGTGCAAAGACCTCAACTTTTAACAGAAACCAGGAGTGGCGCTGAGAACTAGAGTACATAATGACAAAGTCACTTCCTAATGAACTCAAAGAGATGAATGGTATGCATTTTCTTAACATACCACTCAACTGATTTGGACTACTGAAGTTGGAACACGAAAAATAAAGGCAATGAAAGTAATCTTACCAAGTTCTGTAATGACGCCATAAACATGTGAATTACTAGAGAATAATTGAAGCTATGCATGTGGGGCAAGTGCTTTGTCCATCTAGCAGTCCAGCCATGACATCAAACAGTGCACATGGGACAAATGTCCACAGAGCAAACTAGTTTATCTGCGTATTTCCTCTCAACAGATAATGCAACTTGCATCAGTTATGCAAAAAAGAGGTTAGCAAAGCAAAACAACGAGCAATTTTATCATGAAACCAACAAACCAGTGCAATATTATGACAGCACTCTGGAATAGCATTAATCTGCTGTGGCATCTGGGAAAACTCTATAGCCATTCATTAACATCTATATGAATGTGGGCAAAGCTAGAAAGACTTACATTGTGAAACGGAGGAAGTACTATACTACTTTCTCTCCCATCAACCTTCCATGAACTTATCATTGACACCGAATATATATTTCATGAAAATTCATATTGCAGATTTTGCTAATATTGTCCAAACTCCAAAATGAGTATTGTTCAAAATTAAACCAAGTGAAAGGCTGTAAACAATATGAACTTAACTTGTTTGAGTTTCTATCAACATCAACTAAATAATGCAAACCAAAGCAATTAACTGAAGTGGGTCCGTGAGACTAGGAAAACTAAAAACTCATATGCGACAACAGAATTCAATGGATGAATGTGTCCTAGACTCATCGCATAACTTAGCCAATCTTATCATGATAGATTCCCAAGGTATGACTTCACATACCACTCATGTTCTTAAATTGGGGTCTATATGAAGCTTGGGCTCAGTAGCATGACAGATATCATAAAACTTCATCAGAAAGTGACCCATAAATATTTGAATATGGAAAAGAACATATCAACTAGTTAATGGAGGACATTAATTAAAATAAATTACAGCTAGTTTTTCTAGTAGGATATGATGGCAGCTGCAAAAGGATACGAGAACTTGAGCTAAACAAAATTCTACCTATCATGCATCTGAGCAGGTGCAGAATGGCACAATTCTTGACAAGGAGCCTCGAAAAAAAAAACTGAAAATATGATGCAATCGATGGCAAACATGAAGGCCATATCAATTCAGCAAACAGTGACATCTCAATAAATTTGCCCCTCTTCTAGACCAACCATTAACCAATGCAATGCCTCGATCAGACTTTCGAAGCGTCTCCTCCACCACGGCAAGCAACATGACTGAACAGTCCTGACGGAACCAATCAGAACTGAAGCCCAAATAGCCAATGCTAATCAAAAGAAACCACACCAAAGCTGATTGAACCATAGTAATCATCGACATGCTTAAAGGGTCGCACATTGTAGGTCGCATATTGGAGAATAATTTCTACTAGTACGAAATAGGTCGGAGAGCCGGGCCATCAATCCGAATATTGGCAAATTCCAAACACTAGCATCCCAAACACGAACCCTAGCTGCAAATTTCCTCCACTCTCTCCTCCATTCCAGATTCGAGAACACCAACACGGATGTACGCGAACGCGCCCCAACTGAGTGAGGAGACTACAAATCCACGCGCTCCAAGCCTAGAAAAAACGATTCGATCGAAGCGATTATACCACTTTAGTATGTGAACGCCGTATCCTGTCCACGTGTAGGCGAAGAAGATCGGCTCTTCCCTCGCCCAGTACCCGCCGCCGCCGCGCCTCGCCTCTCCCGCGCGGCCGCGCCATTGCCGCCGTCGGCTTGGGAGTTGGAGGCGGCTCCTCGTGTGCCACGCATGTGTTAAGAAAGAGAAAGTTTAGAACAAGGGATGTTAAGATAATATCTGACGTTAGATCGTAATGGGATGCTTCAGATTAAGACGAAATGAGTTCCAGGTTATGCAGCCCAAAGATTATTCTTTTCTTTTCTTTTTCATCGATGAATCACGAATACATGAAGTTTGAATACATGAATCATGAATACTCTCCATCTTGAAATATAACGAATTAGCACTAGTTGTGTCGAATCTATATACTCCATATTTTGAAATGAAAAAAAGTACTATATAGCAATCTAGTACTACTATGGTTGATATACTCCTTTCGTTTCATATTATAAATTGTTTTTCGTTTCATATTATAAATTATGTTGATGTTTTCAGGTCAAATTTAAACCAAATTTGTAAAAAAATATATTAGCATTTTCAACACAAAATAAACATATTATTAAATATATTCAATACTATACCAATAAAACTAATTTAGTGTTTTAAATGTTGCTAAATATTCCTAAAAATATTATTAAAATTAAAAGAGTTTGACTAAAAAAAGTCAAAATGACTTATAGCAGCTTGGCTATAGTTGTTTATGGCTTGAAAATTGGAGAAAGCTAGAGTTTTGAATTGCTGATAAAAAGAACTCATAGCTTCAAAAAAACAATCATTGCGTAATTGCATTGCTAAGGGAAACACCAATGATGTGATGGTGGAGTCGTGGGTGTATGACTCTACCTACCAGAGTTTAAATTCTAGTGTCAATGTATATTACATACATGTAGATAAACTTTTAATATAGTTTTTACTCCCTCCGTTTCGAAATGTTTGACGTCGTTGACTTTTTATCACATGTTTGACCGTTCGTATTATTAAAAAAATTAAGTAATTATTAATTTTTTTCCTATTATTTGATTCATTGGTAAATATATTTTTATGTAGGCATATAATTTTACATATCTCACAAAAGTTTTTGAATAAGACGAACGGTCAAACATGCGCTAAAAAATCAACGGTGTCAAACATTTCAAAATGGAGGGAGTATCTTTTAAAGTATGTATCAGGGGACATATTTGTGGGGGTGTATGTGCGTGCTCATATGCATTGCCAGAGTTGCGAGGGCTGTTTCCACCGAACGAAGCCGGAGAAGGAAGAAAAGAAACAGCAACGACGTCGTCAGGTCAAGCTGAAGCACCCAACGCGCCAATCCGCCATGGTGGCCCATGGGAAATTGGGCTTACAGAAATAGGAATAGGAGAATATCGTTACCATCCACCCCCCCCCCCCCCCCCCCCCCCAAAATACTAATTCCGCTCCGTCCTCACGTCGTCGTGCACTCGTGCTCCATTTCCGCGTCTCTCCGCGACCAGGCTCTGCCCCCCCAGCGCGACGAACTGCCCGGTGGGCGATCGCTCCACCGCCGCCGGCGACCTCACTCCCCCCCACCACCACCGCGAAGCCGCCGGCGGCACCCCTCCCCCCGCCCTCCCGCCCGCCGCGATCCATCCGGTTGGTCCTCCCCCTCACTCATTTCCTCCCCCCGCTTTGCTGTTCTTGATTTTGCTGATTTTGGAATCCCGGATGCGGTTAGCCTCCTATTGTCTTGATGTTGATTCGCGCGGGAAAAGGAATGTCGTATGCGTGGTTGATCCGGTTTGATTTGATGGCTTGACGCGTGATTGGTCCCCAACGAACACGGACACAACCCACCTCGGTGCTAGGGGGGGCCTTGATGTCTGAATTCTCAATTTGTTCTTCGACCATTTCGTTCCATTTCGGAGCTGGAATGCGACCATGGTGTCATTGCCTCGGAGATCGGGAGGTTGACACGATTGATGAAGATCTTAGCTTTGGATATGCGTGTGGAAACCTGGGAGGAATCTTGGGTAATGCCCATTTATTAGAGTTATATGCTGGAAGCGTACAATTTATGGACATCAACCAACCAGCTATTGAAATCCCCTGGCCTTTTGTATTCAAGCCTGTCATTCTGCCTGATCTAGGCCGATCTACATGCTGGCCTGAGAGATTGTGAGATACTGAGATCAGACAACGTCTGGATCCACATGGGACGTTGGGTTGGGCTGTTAGGGTGGTCGAGTGGAGACTACTGCAGCAGTGATTCTTGTTTTTCCCTTGTCGAACACGTCCTTGCAACTGTGACAACGATGTAGCATTGAAGAAATAGGACCGGAACAAACAATTGGTGATCACATTTACCCCCACAAGTGGCATATGCCGTTTGGTTCGGCATCTGGTCAAAATATTCCAGCCATCTCTGCTGGAGTGTTTCTTTTTCCTGAATTACATAAATGTATAAATCCCGACCAAATGTGATCAACTCTTTTGGGTATCCATGATTTCCAATTCTGTTCAAGCCCCAAAACCAGGCTGCTTATATGCTTCGAGACCAACAAAATGTTGATAACCAGACCCATGTACTGGACTGTGCCTCCTAAATTTGGCATCCATTGGTCCTTATTTGTGGTGAGGCGTGTCAGCTGAACACTTGTTTTTGTGCATTGTGAAATGTGGATTTGTGATGTTTCTTTTTTTAATTTAAGTTATATATCCTTGGAGAAATTCACATTAGCCTTCTTATTTTGTAAAGAACCTGGTCCTTGACTCTTTCTTTTATGCTTTCTGCAGGTACAAAGAGTTTATTTGCTGTTGTGAGCTATCCGAGGTTCCAAATCCAAAATGAGTACCACTAATCACTATCAACACATCAAGTCAAACAAGCCTGTTCTAGGTGCGGATATCTTACTAAATTATATACAGTATGTCATTATCTGCGAACCGTAGAATGTATGTATTTGTATTGATATACAACACATGGATAGTGAGGATAAACCTGCAAAATAGCAAAACTTCTGTGGTGGATTTCACTTTATTCATGACTAGGATAGGAAACGATGTATTTGCTGTAGCATGACACACCAAATTTAGTTTATTCAGTGCCCTAAATGATGCCAATGATGTTTATGTTCTTCTTGTTTTCCCTAACGTCTACAAGTTTTTAGCTATTTTTTTTTACTATATGGCAGGCAAAGCAAGAAAATTGAAGGATCTAATGTTAAAAAGTGACAACCGGATATGTGCTGATTGTGGTGCACCTGATCCCAAATGGGCGTAAGTGCCTCTGTTACAGTGATTAGGGCATCTTTTTTTGTATGAATACCTATTATGTTCTAATGTTTCCATACTAATGGAAAGACATTTGCATGTTATGCTGAAGACCTTTGTTTTGGACTTCCCATGTCGTCTATCTGAAATTTAGAGTGTAAACAATGTTTACTTTGCATTTCAGGTCTGCTAATATCGGAGTATTTCTTTGCTTAAAGTGTGGAGATGTACATAGAGCACTTGGACCAGACGTTTCAAAGGTTATTTGGACCACAGGAACTTTTCTTTGTCAGTTTTAGTTCTTACAAAATAAGAAAAAAAATCCTCCTGTTGTGCAACTGTATCTTCAAACTTTTCTCCCATTATTTCTTCTTAGAATTACTTACACAATCAGTATTCATGTTTGCAGCTTTCACTACTGATTTCATTCTTCCACCTGTTCTTTTTTTTTGTCAGGTTTTGTCAGTAACTCTGGATGATTGGTCTGATAGTGATATAGATTCCATGCTTGAGATTGGTGGAAACTCATATGCAAATTCCATTTATGAGTCTTTTCTTCCAAAAGATCACCCAAAACCCAAGATGGATTCAACTATGGAATATAGGACTAAATTTATAAGGTTTGATAGTTATCTATCCAATTATATGTAATTTCATCAGAGTTATTCATAATATTACTCCCTCAATTCCAAAATATAAACATTTCTGTGTGTTTCCCAAAATGTATCTGGATGGAGGATGTCTTGATACATTTTGAAGAACAAGCAGAAATGCTTATATTTAGAATGGAGAGTGATATATTATTTTTTGATACACAGAGCCAAGTATGAGACACAAGATTTTTTGAAGCCAAGTTTGCGCATTACATCAAAGGGTTCTTTTGATGCGACCAATGCTGTGAAGAGTGTAACTAGCAGTATCTCTAGCGCTTCAGGGAAGCATGTCGCTGTAAGCTGTTCTGCTGAAACATATATGATACAGCTGTGAAGATTTGTCTAACCATTTTATTTGTGGGTTCAAGTTAGCCATTGAAATGGAGCATATTTAATGATTGTTGCATGATTTTAGTGATCCAGACAATCAGCCTTAACCTTGCAAATGGTCACAGGACGATACAAGAGAATTTGTTGGAGAGCTGAACATTACAGTGGTAAGAGGTATTCAGTTGGCCGTCAGAGACATGCTAACGAGCGATCCATATGTTGTTCTAACACTTGGGGAGCAGGTATGCTTTTTCTTTTGAAATTCATAAACCATTTTGATTGCTATGCTAATTTGTTCCTTTAAACATTCAATTGTTGGCCTAATTGCAGAAAGCTCAAACCACTGTTAAACCGAGTGACTTGAACCCAGTATGGAATGAGGTGCTTAAGATATCAATTCCTCGAAATTATGGACCTCTTAAACTTGTAAGTTTGATCAAAGTTATTTCACTGAGTTCCATAAGCTGCTAATGGAAGAGTGTAGTACACTAATAAGTAGCAATATCATCACACAGTTTTCTTTCCTGAAATTAGTTGCAATAAGAAACATGATTAATCAACTACAAAGTCGGTTAAACACAACATGCATAATGCTAGAACCTAAAATAACGCTATACATAGTTGGCTAGATTACATTGATTATTACCATCTTGCAAGTGATGAATGTAGTTCTAACTAAGTGATGAAGATATTTCAATTTGAGTGTAGTAAAAGTTCTAGCTCACCAGTTCATAGGGAAATACTTATTTGCACCAATGGGCTGGTATGGAAATATACATAAATTATTCTACATAAAAATGCATGAGTTATATAATAAATAAAGATAATACTAATAAATTGAGCTTTGGTATTTCCTAATATCATACATCTCACTCCAATTTAGAATCACATTAATCGGTACAGGTTGCAAGGAAATTAAAAAAATGATGCTTGAAATTTGTAGGAGGGAATTAACAAGAAAAATCAGGTCTCCATGGCTCCATATCCGATTTTTTTTTAATCATAAGGTGTATATAAAATCCTATAAAATGAGGTGATATCGTGATACCATCCGTGGCATTCTTTTTGAATAAAAATAAATGACGGAGAGAGGGGAAGCATTTATGGAATGAAGTACCCTTATATAAAGCAGCCAATATGAAAAGCTGTCTTTTCACTGAATCCAAATAACATAATAATCTCTCTATTTTCAGGAAGTATACGACCATGATACGTTCTCTGCTGATGATATCATGGGGGAAGCGGAGATAGATCTTCAACCAATGATCACAGCCGTCATGGCCTTTGGAGATCCCTCGCGTGTTGGTGACATGCAAATTGGAAGGTGGTTCATGACCAAAGACAATGCCCTGGTGAAAGATAGCACTGTCAATGTTGTGTCGGGCAAGGTAAAACAGGAAGTGCACCTAAAGTTGCAGAATGTAGAATCAGGTGAGATGGAGTTAGAACTGGAATGGGTTCCAATACCCTAGATTAATAAAGCTCGATTGGTTCTCTGCCAAAAAAAATTACTCAAGAAGCGTCAGTTTTGTAATTTAAATGAATGGCTTCAAATCCCGTGTACTTACTGAATCTCTGTCTTCAACATTTTGGCCACCCGAACGAAATTCGTAAAAATGCCATTGTAAAATATCATGTTGTAATCCGTCGGCTGCACTCACGACCAATTATATTATTCTTTAGTGAAGTGTGCTTTCAACCCGTTGTCATAAAAATGGCTAATTCATTGTGGTGATATCAAGTACTAAATCATGTTGCAAATGCCATACCGGTGCTTCAACAGCTCCCTGTTTTTTTTGTTCCATTTTTCGAGTCAAAAGTCCTCTTTGGCTAAAGCCTGAAGATGCTGCTGCACTTCAGTTACAGGTATGTGTATCCTGTATGGCTGTATCCAGACCATTGAATTTTTTTAGAGGCAGATCAACATCACTATTGACCATTGATTTAAGTGCCATTTTGCGCATTTAATTTTACCGATCTGTACATAAATGCTCTCTCCATACAAGAACAAATTAACACTTCCTTTGATATTTACAGACCATCTTTCTTCGATTCATTTGCTGATCGAGCTGATGCATTTCAATTATTAGCTGGTCTTGGAGGAGAACACACCGACGGCGGAGCCGACGGAGGCGAAGGCGCCGGTGGCGAGGCAGGCGGCGCTGAAGGCGCGGACGGCGAGCCACCGCGGCGTCCACGGCGCCACCTTCTTCTGCACGAGGTACATCTCGACGGGGAAGTGGATGGACAGCGGCCAGAAGGTGAAGGCGCCGAGCAGCCCGACCACCTGGTTGAAGTAGGGGAACCACACGGCCAGCGCCGTCGTCGCCGCCACGTACGCCGTCCGGAAGCACAGCCTGTACACGTTCACGCGGCAGCCGCGCCGCCACCGCGACGGCCACGCCACCGCCGCCGGCACCGCCACCTCCACCACGCCCGCCCCCGCGCCGCCCATCCGCCGCTCCACCGCCGCGAACACTGGCTGCGAGTACACCTGCATGCGTACGTGTGAATTGTTCGTCTTTTCTCATCGGTTTAAGTTTTTGAATTGAATTGATCGGTGCATACAACTCAATATGGTATCAGAGTCAGGGGTCTCGAGGAGAGGACATGTGGAGTGGCACTTCTTGCCCAGGGTTTCAAATTTTGAAACTAGGGTTTCTGCTGGATGGGGGGGGGGGTCGGTTCTTCCGTACGGAATTTTTTGAATTTTTGACTGATTTTAAATGGATTTAAATAAAATTTGACTAAATTCATAAAAATTTGCAAAAAAATCAAAAGTTTCGGGTGAGATATGAGCATTTCGGTGGGGAGCGAAATTTCGAACCGAAATTTCAAACCCTGTTCTTGCCTGATAGCCGCCGAGGAGGTGGACGGCGACGCAGAGGTTGGCGAAGTCGATGAGCCAGTAGGGCTCGTAGAAGCCGAAGCCGGTGAGGAGGTTACCGGGCGTGGCGTCGCCGAAGGCCGCGTAGCCGAAGCACCCGCAGCAGAGGTAGAAGAAGGTGGTCACCGCGATGCTCGCCCTCGACGCCGTCCTCATCGTCTCGCTCTCCGGCGGCGGCGACCTCAGCGTGTCCTTTCACCACAAACACCCGCCATTGCTAGCTGCTCAGCTCATGCAATGCATGGCTCATCGCCGTTCGATCGCCTAGCTTGTCGCGCATTGCACATACGCATCATAGCATGCACGAATTACCTCGATTTCCAGCAGAACCGACGCGAAGGGGTAGGCGAACGCGATGTCCCCGATCGCCTGCGAGACTCGCCACACCTTCTGCGTCGCGGACACCATGGCGATCCCCCCGATTCCTCCCTTGATCACTCCATTAGCTGAACAAAAAAACGAATTAAGCCACATTCGATCGCGTTGTTAGCTGTACTGTACGTACGTTGGAGTAGTGCATTATCCGATATTTATCCCTTGAGGGGATATCTTTTCTTTTCGTGCATGCAACCTAAATAGTCACTAATTTTTTTTTTAAAAATGGTAACATAGATATTACTCCACAAATATATAAGTTTAAATTCAACTTCTACAAGTTATAACAAAAATATTAAATATAGCTGCGAATGTACGATAACTATTTTCAGTTTAATTTGTTCTTTTTGTTGCAACATGTACAAAGTTGAATTTGATCTTGTATGTTTGTGGGGTGATATATTTCATATTAATCTATATTATCAAATTTTTTAAAATTTTTTTAATAACTATTTAGATGACATGCAAACAATAAAGGGATATCCTGCCGAAGGATGAAAATCCACATTCCCAATATCGTACCATTTCGCATCAGTTGTAATGAAAGTGAGAGCTACTAGCATTAATGAATACTGTTAAATGCGTGTGTACTTATGACTTTGGCGACGCCGAGGCCGAAGCCGATGAGGGAGTAGGTGAAGGACATGGCCGCCGACAGGACGGAGAGCCACGCCATGTCATGGAAGCCCGGTATCTGCGAGAGCACCACCTGCGCGAGCCCGAACATGAGCATGTAGTAGCCGTCTCCGCCGACGGAGCACGGCGCGTCGTGCCCTTCCCGGTGGTAGCAGTTTGCCTTCTGAATCGCCCTGCAAAACCCATAGAAAATGTCCGAGTTCATTGCTAACTAGAATAGCGCATGTAGCCTAGTGGTTGCAGTGACCTGATTAGTACCTAAGGTTCTGAGTTCAAATCTCCATAGGAACAAATTTCAGATTGGGTTGTTTGCGGGGGTAAGTTCCCTATTTCAATGGCTGTATATATCCAGTTGGATGCAGAGGCCGGGTAAAAATACCCTTCTCTAAACAAAGATATCTATAGGAAAAAAAATCCTATAAAATTTTTATGTTTTTTCTTCAAATTAAAGGAGACCTTAGTTGTGTGTTCTGATTAAGAAAAGAAGGAAAAAAAAACTACAAATGCAACATTGCCCGTACTACAAATGCAACAAATGCGACGCGAGGTCCATTTGAAAAGGACCTTTATCTATGTTAGGTATCAGCACACTCCCTCACCATCAATTAAATAATCATTGATTGCGACTGTATATTACCACTGAACAGTGATCTAGCTACTATACCTTCTACCGAGATTATTAAAGGACAACGACAGCATCACCATTCAGTGCCTACTCCGTCTCAAACGTATTTGGACAGCTCCTTGTCCACATTCATTAAATTGAGATATATTTCATTCAGTTTTATATTGCTATATTTTAAAACGGCAGAAGGTAGTAGATAAAATAAACTTTATCTAATCATGTTAGTTAAAATCTTTTCCTCATCTTACGACTGCATTACAACTAATAAAGCCGTGGTTAGATGTTTGCCACGCAAGGCACAGAATGACAGAAAGCGAGAGAGATCATATGTACATTAGTGAAAAGGGGATATCAACATCCCACTAGAATGAGCCACATCAACAAATAAATATGAACCGTTGGATGCACGATTTAAATGAAGAGAACCGTTGGATCAAAATAGAGAAAAATCAGTCAAAAAAGCAAATAGTGTCAGGGGATGTTCTAGACCCTTCAAGCACATCCGATAAAATATGTGGTAACAAAGATATGAGAGTGAAAAATACCTTCAAAATTATCCTTTTAAAAAATCACCTATGAGTATTCAACAGTAATTCTATTATATCAACAATAACAAGTATCTGTGAAAATATGAATAGCTAAATAATCTAATACTATCAATTACTTCACCACATCTTAAATTAAAAAATCATGTGACATGGAGGACATAATATTTTTTTAAAGTTGATTTAAACCATATGATTATAAGATTTATGATAAAAACATGTATAGATACTTATCAACTGGTGATGATAGAATTGCAACACGTAACAGATGTGGCTATTTACATTATTACTACAAATGGCGCATTTAGATATTGTAGGAGGTAATGGCGGTGGTAATATATGATAAATTATTCGTTGTTACGATAATATTCTTAATGACAAATTAAGATATATAAATCCATTAATGTTATAATTAATGTTATAGTTGCACTACTTAAAAAATGTGTTAAAAACATATTTATTATTAATTGTTATTAAACATTTACGTCTATTAACATAAATAGCATATAAATATATTTAGTAGATAGAGAGGTAACAGTCGCGTGTTCAAGATGCTAGTTTCACATGAAAAATGAACTTGCCTCATGCTGGTGGCCGAGGTGAGTGTGTACACCACCCCACTCCCGAAAAAGTTGATGTTGAGGAAAAAGCCACAGAACCACTGGCTCTTCTCACCTGCAGCCACCGTTCGTGCCATCCACCGTCAGTAGTGACATTAATTAAGTCATTAGCATAAAATGGCACAATTTGATAATTTTAACTATTAATAAAGTACAGATCGGTCGATGAACCGTGTATCATCGATCAATTTCTTTTTCTGTTCGTCCTATCTACCCGTACGCACTTGTACATCGACTTCCCCTTGTGAGGCAAAGAGACAGCATTAATTTTATTGACAATAATCGCAACTTCTGACGATTGCATTTCTATTATTTTTCTCTAATGTTCTTTACTAAACACAATTGTTGTCAGTGTGCCATATAGTATACCACCTACTGTACTGTATGATATCAACCGATTCTACTTCATGTGCGTGCAAACAGTAAAACCATGGTCCTTTTTGAGATAGCGGAAATCAACGGATAATATCATCTTTACGATAGCCATTTGAGTATAACTAAACGAATCAATTAATCATTCCAAAGTTGAAAACTTGTTTATAGAAAAGTATTTCATGAAAAAAATTATATAGAAAATTAAAACATATCGTTTAGTAGCTTGAAAAACGTGCAAACAAAAATCTAGAATCTAGAATTTGGAAAAAAAAATTTGGGGAGATGATCACCTAGGTAAAACCTCACAGCGTCCACGTAGGACCTGTTCCTGACGACGCCGTTGTCCGGGTCATGAAAAATGTAGCAGTCGGCGAGCAGGGAGGACTGGACTAGGGTCACTCCGGCGAAGAGCACCATGGCCGCCGGTCCTCCGACCCAGCCGAGCTGCGCCACGCTCCACGCCAGCGACAGCACGCCGGAGCCGATCACCGCCGTTATGATGTGCGCCGTCGCCGTCCATGCCGTTCCTGCAAGCACCCGCCCATCAATTATAGCCTCTCGCATATGCAATTCATGACTCATGATGACTGGAGCTGGACCTCTTGTTCATATAGCGTGACCTGCTATTATATTTGGCACATATGGGTATATCTCTGCTGGATATGACTCTTTTTTTCTAGCTAAAAGTTTTCACTTTGTATGTATTGTTCGAGTACTCATGGTCCCTCACAGAGCGCACGCATGATCCAAGACGTCTTTACCTTCCAATTGATCAGTTTCTCGTGTCCTATGTGCAAGCATATGAGGTGTTGGGCGGCTGCTCATAACTTGATATGCTTGTTCATATATACATGGACTGGATTAGTGTTTTCTAAGAACTCAGACATTAATATGTAACACGGTAAGATAATTTGTTCGTGCAAAGATGAATGATCGGCGTTAAAAAAGGCCCAACGCGCAACTCTGATTGTGTATCTATAAAGTTAGAGTTAACCATATCAAAGCACACGTTAAGAATCAATCCATGGGGGAGTCCTTGTGTGGGGGCTAAGGTTTCGTAGCTTTTCTCGGCCGTTTTGGTTAAGGTTTTCTCTTCTTAGTAAAAAGTCTTGGGGACAGACATGTCCTTGCCGGTTAAGTTATTTTCTTTTTAAAATTTTCATACCAATGTAACTATCTGATAAGGCTCACAATTGAATTGTTTTCTTCATGTCGTAATTTGCTTCCATTATATTGAAAAAAAAAGTCGTATTTTGCTTTGAGCTATTTCCCGTTGTCATTTCAGATGTTTATGATATCCTAAAAAAATATTAACTATTAGATGCTAGAGGTTTTCTTGTTGATCTTGCAAACTTTTAAACAAATCTATCCCACGCAATTGCAGTCCATCGTAGTGGTTAATTGTTACGAGACAGTGACCTGACGGGCAATCACAGCAATGTGACTATGCACCTTAATTAATTTGTACGAGCCACGTTGAAACATAATCAGAAATTAATGTGTACAGTGATATGCCGTCTCTGTTGTTATCACCACAGTAACTGGGCCTTGTTATTTTTTCCGAGGACTGGCCATGTTTTTCTCTTTTTTTATATATATTGTTTTAGACAAGGTTTTTTTTTAACGAAGCATCTACATCTAACCGGATATATGCGACCTTGGCCGTGTTTTTCTAATGTAGGGATATATGTAATCCAGCAATATAGATCGATCAAACGGGGAAAAATTTACTAGCTAGCTGTAGCTGGTGCTAATTAAGATCAGCTACACAGGAAGATCATCACAACGCAGACAATTCAGAAGTCAGGAAGATCATCACAGCACAAACAGTTCAGAAGTCAGAGCTGGAAGATTGGAAACCTTGTGACGGATGATCTCGATGCAGGTATTTAAGCAAACAAAAAAAAAATGAAAGAGCAATCTTGCGAAGGATTAGCTGATGATTAGGCCTGACCTGTTCTCTTGTCAATCTCCGACGACGAGGAATTCGAGAGCTTCTCGAGGAGCGGTTCCGTCTGGCCGTCGCCTTCCCCTGCTCCTCCCATGGCGGTAGCTTGATTCGATCTTCGATCTTGCTTGTCACTCTCTTCTTCTCTGGGCAGTTCAGCCTAGTGTTAAGAGAGCTAATACTTTGTAGCTACATGCCCGTCCTTTATATAAAGAAAGCTTTCCTGATGACAAAATCATCCTTGATAAACCAGCACTCACTCTGCAGTGCAATCTGATGGCTATTGGATTGGTTGGTGGTCCGACTGGTACGCATGACGTCAGGTGGTTGCTCTGCTCTGCTGGTGGGGGCCGGCAGCTGTGGCCATCACCAATTCACCATCAGGAATTCTCACATCAGCTCGGATGCCACTGTTGGTACAGTAGTGGTACGCGGAAGAGAGTGCACTATCTGAAACGGTCCGGGACTCCGGAGATTCAGCTAGCTTAAGTATACGTGTGCTTGCTTGCTGAAAAAAAGAGAGAGAATTACTGAAAAAACTGTCATAAGTTGTTTGGTTAATATACTTTCAAATGTATAATATAGTTACACTACATGTAATTACACTATCTATCTCATCGTTTCGCATATGTTTATAAGCTAAAATTTAAAATTTAATTTTGGTGTTGATTTTATGGTTTTTCATCGTAGTTTATTTTACCGTATTTGCTTATCGATTGGCACGTATATAAAATATTTACTTGCAAATTATTATTTAAGTTAGTAATAAGCGCTTCGGTTATGCATATGCATAAGCCAACAGATGAAGCCGTATAGTTGCATTGTAGCTATAATGTTAGTTATAATAAAATTATATTACAAGAGTATATAGTTTATGTTTGAAAGTTTTCAACTTACGACAGCTTTAGTTACTTGGCAGTTGCAGCTGCTGAAGCTGCTGTGCTCCGCCGTCACCGTCGTGCGCCCGCTGGTGCCATGCGCGCGTCTGCCCCCCGCAAAGTCAGCAAGTCATAGCGGCGGAGACGGAGGGCGTCCCCGTACAGCCGAGAGAAGGACGCCGTCGCGCGGCACGCCGGACAGCCGGAGCAATCGGAGAATTGAGCCACCCGCTCGCGATCTGGCTCCGGCCATACGTGACGGGCGGCCGGTGAGGCGGCGGCGCGGTCGCTCTCCCTCGGGGGTGCGTGGCGAGTCCCTTGATGGGATGACGATACTGCGGAATACGAGCATGTACATCGGGTTTCATCCTGTCGCGGCGGGGCGGCGGTGGTCGCCGGAGGACGTACGCCCGCCGCCGGCCGGCGGAGAAGGGGAACCGTTCGATTCGTTCGATCCCGTCCCAGTGGCCCATCCACTGGAAAGGCCAGGATATGGGCTTTGCACGGCGTCGTCCCCTTCCTCCTCTCTGTTCTCCACGGCCCCAATCCGTCCATCCATCTCTTTCCCCTGTATCATCGTGCCTCCACTTTTCAAGGTCCGGCAAAAAAAAAAAAAAGTCGTGGGTAGTTGCCTCACCACGCAAATATAAAACCGGAGCAGATTACGGCTGTGTTCGGAATCATCCGTGCGCACCGAAAACGGAGCGGCTTATTAGGGCGTGATTAATTAAGTACTCCCTCCGTCCCATAATATAAGAATGGGACATTTCCTACGTGTATAGATTCGTAGTACTAGGAACTGTCCCATCCAATCTTAGGTTCTTATATTATGGGACGGTGAGAGTATCAACTATAATTTTTTTAAAAATGAATCAATATGATTTTTTAAGCAACTTTTGTATAAAAACTTTTTGTAAAAAACACACCGTTTAGCAGTTTGAAAAGCGTGCGCATGGAATACGATGGAGAGGGGTTGAGAACCTAAGATTGCAAGCACTCACCAAATCACCAATGCAGTTTGTTACAATTCCAGTTAAACTATGTTGCTACCTGTCAAGTTGTCATATACTGTGTTTTTTCAGGTGTCCGCCACTGTATGCATCTGATTTTGCTGATCACAAATGAACTTATAGTTCTTCCTATGGAGTTAATTGATATGATGGGTAATTCTAAACACCTTTTGCGGTTACATTTCCTAAGCATTTTCTTGCAATAACTTTATATATATAAACTGCTTAGAAACTTTTCTAAAACAAAATTTTCAACTTTATATTACTCGTAATTAATTTATTCATTTATACGCTGAAATATTATCGCAAAACAAATAATCCATCAGCCACTCAGCTCTTTCAAACTGGGTGACATAAACTTCTGCTTTATTCATCTAGCAAGTTGGGAGATCCGTGTGTCAAGGCCAGAGGTAGCAGTTTGATGTTTTACTCTAATTGATCCAATAATAAACAGAAAATGCAAATGTAGCACCAGGGAAGAAGATGCGAGCACAACATGCTGTAGATGTACATATTTCTCACAAAAGAATGCAACAGAAAGAGTGCAAGTATATCATCCACAAAATGGAGTGCAGACATCATGATATCATAAGCATACCATGAACAGGGAACAAGAATACATGCAGCCATATCTGAACGCTGCATAATTTCTTCAAGGAATAGGGGTTTGAAGCAGCGTATGGCTCTACTTTTACAGCTCACCAGAAACAGCGAACTATGTCACAGACGTCAGAACATGTGGCGACTAACAGAAAAACTGTGACCTGGTTATAACCTTCAGAATACAGAAAACGAGTATGCAGTTATGCACAGCGGATAGGTTGACAGCAACTTTTGAACTCATGTAGACACATGTTTATCAAGAAAATTGCTCAATGGCATTAATTCGTTACGATTGCAAGCTTCAGAGTAACAGAAGCAGCATAACAAGTAGCAGCCACCTAGCATTCAACAGTATGATATCAGGGGATAAAACATAAGGACTGTAATCGAATAGCTCTATAATATTGAATATCCGTCAAGTGTTCCAACAAAGGCTGCTCACAAATGCCCAGAGAAAACAAAACATAATAGTATTAAAAAGTCAGAAAACATAGCTGAAACATTGCAAACATGCCTACAAAATATAAACATGGACTTAAGAAAAAAAAAATCAGATGGATTGCATGAGCATGGAAAGGGACACGTTTCTTCAAGAAAACACTACCTGCATGTGTATACTACCTTTCAGTTTTGAATTAGCGCATATCGCAATTGTCAGAAAAGGCTAATGGTGTGCATCAGGAGCAAGATACAAAGCACATGCCAGTTTGCCATACAAGAATACTGTTTTGATATATGATAAACCACTCAAAGGTACAAACACCACAAGCAGTATGCAGTTTCCTCTTAAGTAGTAATGTTCTGAAGCTGCAGAGATCAAGTCTGTGTAGGTAGAGTAGAGCTGTAGAACAGTAGAAGATTATGTGGATGGGGGAGGTAAAGGCTGAATACTTAAAGCAACCCACATCGACATCAGCCTTTGCTGGTACATTTTGTATGCCATGACTGTTGTGACTGAGAATAACAGCCGAACACCAAGGGGAAGAATAATGAACAAAACCACAACAGCAAAGAATGAGACTTGCTTCCGGACCCCCCAAAGAAAAACAATCGACATCTTGTTATGTCATTAACCCAAGAAGACAACTGAGCACTGAATAAAGCACCATCTAAACTGAAGTTCCAACTGCCATAAGAGGAGTGGTCAGAAGTTCCTAATGATGAAAATGCTCAAGTTGCCTAACAACGCATTTCACCAGAGAATAGATACGTCAACATGGAACCATCAACCATACATGGATACTGGGTTCTGTGTGAAGTATTGTTCAAAGCTACCAAACAATGTAGCATTTGAAGGACTTGTTCACCTTGCATGATGCAGGCTAACAAGCAGAGCTTGCACCCTGTAATTTTCACAGGTAAGCAGAAACACACTCGCAACTAATGCCTTACAGCAACAATCAGAAGGACATATTCTGGATTTATGTGCAGAAATAGCTGTGGTACTGGTAATGCCTGTATATCAGTATATATATACCTCATGTTGCAAGTGTAGCTACATGCGTAGTACATTACTACATTACGTGACAGTGTAGTTAAGAAACCTCAAAATAATGGTGGCACATGTGAAGTTATCCAATAAAGCACGGTTCAAAGTATATGAACTATCTGTTACAGAATTCAGAAATTACAGAAATCGGATAAGGCACTGAACAGATATAAATCTAAAGAAGACTGAAATAAAAGACTAGAAACACATGTGCATATGCCGAAATAAAATGATTACAGCTCACTTCTGGCAATAAATGGTTCAGGTAAAAAATGTGTATGAAGTGAACTATCATACATTATAATCAAAGTAAAACTAGTAGTAGTGCTGTATGGAATCTTGCCAAAAGGAGGTAAGTTACAAGAAAAAACAAGCCAGGACAAGATGTTATACCTCAAGATAATAACTGGTTGATTGCAAAGTCAACTTACATAACAAAGCAATCACTCCATAATGTACCACTGATATGCTAAGTAAAATTCATGGTCTTTTCAGAAAGCATTTGCACAATCAACAAAATTTTAACAAATAAAAGATGATGAATGCAAGCTTAAAAGCATATATGCTGGTACATTACTATCACCATATTCATCGTGGTACAATAGTCCCGGTAATTAGCTACATAAGGAAGACATCACAATTGTGTAAAGGGCCTTCATGCCATGATCAAATCATTGCCGCTTTAGAGTGATTCAGTGTACAGTCATCCTTGGAGATTTGTAAGGTATGGTCTTCAATCAATCTTAACTGATGAGAAAAGGTAGTGGACGAAAGAGAATGATGTCAGGAACCCAACAGTCCCAGTAGCCAGCATAATTGCAAGAGAGACAACGAAAGCATATCCAATGTAGAGCGTAGCAGAAACTGGGCCACTCAAGCTTCTGAGATCAAACACCAAGTAGTTGATAGAGTACAGGAACACATAAAGCGCTACTGCTCCAGAGGCAAAGAAAGCTTTCCACCACCAACGCCAATCTTCCGCACAAAGATGCATGTAGGTAAGAACAACAGATACCTCAGCACAGACCACAACCAGCAAGAGGAGGACAACAAGGAGGAACCCAAACACATAGTAGAACCTTCCGAGCCAAATACTTGAAAGAATAAAGAACAACTCAATGAATAGTGTTCCAAAAGGCAGAGTCCCAGCACCAAGCACAAGGAGCCAAGAGTAATTTTTTGCAGGGATTTCTCTTGGTATTTGATTGGTTCGAACTGGGAATTCTATTGGCTCAGCCCTTGTGCCAAAGAAACCACCGAGGAGGGTAAGTGGCACAGAGATGCAGAACCACAAGGACAGAAGTGTGAAGAAGAGTGAGATGGGAAGAGCTCCTGTACTATTCCTTGACCACAGCATGAAATTTAACACAGTGAGGACAACAAAGACAATACCAGGGAAGAAACAGGCTGTTGACCAGGAGACAGATCTCCATCCCTCAGAAGTTCCTTTTAAAGTCCTCCAGAGCCTAACGGCAGCATATCCAGCCACAATTCCAAGCAACATATAAAGAAATATCATCCCTGTGAGAAGCATTCCTCTTGATGCAGGAGACATGAACCCAAAGGCAGCAAAGAAGATGGTAACAATTGCCATACCCAGAATTTGAACCCCATCACCAATCATGACGCAGAGAAGCTTTGATGATGTTGGTTCTCTGAAGACATCACCAACAACAAGCTTCCACCCGGAGAGCTCCTCATTCATCTGAGCTTGGGCCTCCTTATCCAATTCCTCATATCTAGTCAAGTCTCTCCTCACCGTCCGCAAGAATATGACAAACACAATTCCAGCCAAAAATAGTATTACCATCAATGAGTTCATGATTGAGAACCAGTGAATTTTAGCACCCTCCATCTTCAGGTATGCATCCCACCGTGATGGCCATCTGATATCACTGTTTACAAATTCAACCTCATACGTAAAAGTAATCTGCTCTTTTTCCCTAATCAATTGAGATTTCTCCATCTCCACAGGGCAGCTTGTAGGATCAACTTTTTCATACATCTTAAGCTTTGACATAGCTTCAAGATCACGCTTCATGCTGCATGGGACAACCTCAAATCCCACAATCTCATAGCCAGACTTGGCATCTGTCTCTGTCTCTGAGATCACTTCCATTCCTTCCCCAGTTCCAACTACCTTGACTTTACCTCCTTCGTACCTATGGACCAAGACCTTAAATTTCAGGTGATTAATGATGTAGACCTCATTGCTTCCTTCCGGGGTATAACCAACTGGATAGCCTGTCCACTGAATGGTCACTCCATTCTGTTCAGTAAATCTCCTCACAGGAAGATTGTCGAGAATCATGTTCACCTGGTAGAGGTCTCGGCTTCGCTGCTTGAGGAGCTTCACATCAGCCTCGTCAAGTGGGTTTGTGGTACACAGATACAGTGATTCATTGACATTCACACGAAACCGGTATGGGGAATTGTCAATCTGGTCACCCATCAGGAGCTCCCCTAGATTCTCAGCACTCTTCTTTATCCCACCTTGGGGATGGCAGTATGGGAGACTGTAGTAGCTGAATGGCAGTTCAGTCTCAATGGAAGTGAGTGAGTTCACCTTTGCCCATATTTCCTCGCCTTGCCGGTACGTGTGCATGTAACTGCCTGGCAAATAGAACGCCTCGCAGTGGGGAGCCAAAACTAGAAACACCATTAACAAGGCAGAGAATATCCTGCCTTTGGCCATGACTAGCAAATCCTGGGAAAGTTGACCTAAAATCTGGAGGGGGGAAAAAGATCATTCACATTTAAAATATATATAAAAAAGCAATGTGGCTACTAGATGATACATTGATACTTCTCTTTAAGAAGAATACTATACACAGAACAAACATTGAAATCATGGACAGGTTTCTTAATTAATTCACCGATAAGCATCCATATCTGGGTGAATCCAATGTACCAAATAGCTCGACTCTTACTTGTTAGTTAGGATTTTAGCATGCATATAGGACACGAAATTAGCAAACAAGCATATGGGATGTAATCATCCATCAGCTCAACTTGGTGCTAGAAGAAAACGAAACGAAATGCACCAGTGCTCACTGAAACATCGTGAATCAGGAAGGGAGCTACCCTGAACGCAGGGCATGGAGGTAGATTCAGGACCGGACCTAGCGTTTGGGGCATGGGGATTCAGTTGAACACCCAATTTTTTTTCTAGGAACAAACTGTTAATAGCACGTACTAGGTTAAGGCAAAGTGAAAAGCTTCCAGATCTAGAAGAGACGATGAGATTGGGGCAAAGAGAAGAGGTGTGGATAGAGAGGGAGGAGGTGGAGGATGTGCGTGTGGGTGCTCACCGGCGAGGATGCGGCGGAAGCAGCACGACGTCGGCACCCACTGCTCGCGAGATCGGCGCAGACGACGGGAGAACTCGCGAGAGACGGGGTCGCTTCGAGGCCGAGGGGACGACGAGATCGAGCGCAAATGAGTCAGAGGGCAGGGCACTAGCCTGTTACGCTGGCTTGGGTGACTGTATAGGTTTTTTTTTCTTTTTTTATTAAGGCTTTCTCTATACATAATTTTTTTTAAAAAAACACAATACATACAAATCCGAAATTATGTACCGACATATCTTAATATTTTCCCCGCAAAAAAATATCTTAATATTGAAGTCAATTGAAGTCACTATAGACGTCTCATTGTCCGGCATATCTTGATATTAATGAAGACACTATGGACACATCATTGTCGAGGGATACTTTACCACTGAAATAATAATTAGCTATAAATATGAACACTCACGTTAAATCTATGATTTAAATTTGGGTAGATTGGTTCCGTTACAAGGAACCTAACCAGTTCGGTTACGCTCACTTCGCTCTAGTGACAAATACTTACGAAACGTTTTTAAAAACAAAATTGTAAAGCATTATAGAAATACATGAATATAATCAACATAGATCTTACATATTTTCTATTCCCGTGTTTTACATCCTTTATTCGTCCAGCTACTGTCCATTCTTCTCCAATCGACCACGAGCCAGCAGCGTGAGATGAAGCGATTTGTGATGGTCTATGCAGCTATGCTCCAGCGGCCTGCAGGGCTGCAGCCGCCATGAGCTCGAGCTGTCAAAGGTCAGTGTCTCAGTGGCCATCCACCGCGAGCTCCAGCAGCCAGCGTACTCGCGTTGAGCTCCTCCTTTCCCCTGGTCTCTTCATCTGATCTTTTTTTTCCCCTTTTGAGACTGTTGTTGCTCTGATGGTCGCGTGGTTCCTTGATTGCCTCGATGATCTTATGGGAAAGAAACGGAAAAGGAGCTCGAGGCAGCTGGATTTTTTCACGTGAACAAATCGTTATCAAGGAAACTTTGGTTTGGTTTTCGTACGACCGGTTTCCTCGGTCCAAACGGCAGAAAGGAAAGAAAAAACGGGGTGAACAGGGTATTCCTCCAAAAATCCCATAAGCCTTGTTGACTCCACTACGAAGAGCTTCCTTGAGAAGTACTCCCTCCGTTTCAAAATGTTTAACACCATTGACTTTTTAGTACGTGTTTGACCATTCATCTTATTCAAAATATTTAAGTAATTATTTATTCTTTTCATATCATTTGATTCATTGTTAAATATACTTTCATGTACACATATAGTTTTACATATTTCATAAATTTTTTTAAATAAGACGAACGGTCAAACATGTGCTAAAAAGCCAACGGTGTCAAACATTTTGAAACGGAGGGAGTAACAGTACTAGTAACCAACAAGAGGAAATGATGTACTGCAATTCTGCAAAACTGACCTTTATGTATACTTACATTTGTTCCTTACCCAAATGACCAAATGAAAAACGGGAAGGACAGTGTGTAGTGCTAGAAAATTCGTAGAGAGGTACAGACATAGCAATGCTCTTCCTATAATATCCAGAGACTTTCGACGGCACCACTTCCTTTACAGTATATATCCACATGGTTGTATGCTATAATATCTACCATATTTGGTTATTTCTTCTTTTGAGAAGCTCTTCGCTACCCTTCCTTGTGGCTCGAAAAATGTTCCTGAGAAGATATAACAAAATTAAATGCTATACTTCCTCCGTTTGCATACATACACTCGACACTTCCACAAATACTTGTCACCACACTATTTTCAATGCAAAATTTCTCATCTTGCCCTTTGGTTGTCCAGTGAAGTATAGCATCTTGAGTAATGTTGGCTGCAATCAAAATTTCAACTGCTGTCTAGACTCTAGAGAAGAACCTAATGATTCAGTGGCTGCCAAATGTTGCACCAAGAACTTCTTTTAACAATATGTTGTTCTAAGGGGGTGTTTTGGTCATTCTTTTGTCAAAAAATGATTGCCTAAATATGTCTGCATTGGTCAAAATTGACGAGTAAATGCAAAGAAGTGAGTACCTTAATTTCTACCGCTGAAAGTCGCTCCCATGCATTTGGACTTGTCATTTTCTTTAGCAGGTTGTAATCGCCCTTCCAGTCCGTAAGCACGTCAGTTCCCTCCAGAGCACTATCCAAATCAAATTCTATATCAAGCTGATCGTATTCCTGCTTTTTCCTCCTGATTGTCTCACTAAGCTTGTTCAATTTTCTCTTCCTCTCTCTTTTAGCAGGCATGAGTAATTCAAAATATACCATTCCAATGGAGAAAATATCAACCTACAAGATTGATGCAACTTTCAAAATTAAAAACAACTCCGCATCCAATTAATACAATAATACAGTAAGGCTACACTACCTTTTCATTGTGACGATCGTAAGAGTTTACAAGCTCTGGGGCCCGGTAGGGCAGACTGCCATACCAACCCCCATGGAAGTCAATGATATATGGTGGCTGTTTTTTTTTTTGGCTAAAAGAGAAAACAGAATTATCAGCATCGGTAGTAACTTGAATGATATTAAACATATGGAGGTGATGGTTCATACCTATTCCAAAATCAGCCAATTTTACTGTAAAGTTTTCTTCTAAGAGGATGTTTCCCGGCTTCACATCTCGATGCACGATGCCATGCCGGTGCATGAAGATAAGGGAATCAATTAACTGTGCAAACATATTATGCTCATTCTGCAACCCGAGCTCTTGTCGTTTATTAAGGTATTCTGAAAGGGACCTGGTCAACAATGTAAACTATTATACTAAAACAACATTCATGACACAATTTGAGGAATTCCTTTCCAATTTCAGAATAGTACCTGGCGCATTCCTTCATACAAATATATATCACATTGGTCACAGAGCCAAAGGACTTCTTTTTCTCAATCCATGCCGAATAGAGATCTACAATATTTACATGATCCAGAAGTGCAAGAGTGCTGACATCACTGCATGTCACATATAAAAAGCATAATTAAAATGGCATTCTTTTAAGAGCAAACATTACAACTTGAGAAAGGAAATATTTCACATATTTGGCCGCAACAGCATATAGGAATAAGGTCATTCGGCCTCCTCTTGCTAAGAGTCTAGAATTCAACCTTGATAGGCATTTATTTCCAGACGTATATAAAAAGGTTATATTCTAAACTTAAAATTCAACCTTGAACAAGCGATCAAATTTTGTCCCAAAAATATAGCACTATTTTGCCTACCCTCTTATTGAGCCAATCACAACCATCCATCATTTAATTCCTCTATCTATTTTTCTCATCTTACTCAATCACAACCATCCCCATAAAACCTTCAAAAGTGTTTACATTTTAGGACGGATGAAGTATTTTTTTTAAATGAGAATTGCGCAAAAGGATTGCGTCAAATAAAAGCAAGATCAGGGAATATCAATAAAGCCTCCATGGATTGATTCATTGATACAAAATCTGCCGATCTATGTTGCTTGTTACAAACTAAATGAAACATAAAAATGAAGCAAGAGAAAGAAGGTACGTTGGTTCACAGTGTGTAGATGCCATCGTTAGCTCACTTGACTCAACTTCTTTAATAGCAAAACAATGAGGACTAAAACGTGAAGTGCATTTGTAGACCCTTCCTTCCGATCCTTTTCCTAGAATGTAGAAGTATTTTAGACATAAACTTTAACTATTAAAACTCATATATCAATAAGATGTGAATGTAACGGCATTACCTATTTGCTTTTCACAGCGGTAGTCCTTTTGGAATTTCATCATCAAAGGTGGCATGTGTATCTCCATAGATATCTGACCATGTAATTCAATCGGGTCTTTCCCCAAAGCATCCTCGGGAGAATCCAATTCAATTGGGTCTTCTCCCAAATCATCCTCAAGTGAATTCAAGGCCAAATAATAGATGCTAGTAGATACCCACTGTTTCTCTGAACCTACATAGGTAAAATAAAATACATGTTACTGATGCCAGTCGCCATATGCCCATTGCAATAACCAAAATCCTGTTCAGTTTGAATGACCATTAAATTAAAAAACACTAGGCAAAAAGACGATAACAGTGATTTGTACTAAACCCCAATGGATCCACCACCTCTCATCCGGTAGGAAATGATTTTTCTGAACATTTAAGAATGGCATAACAGAAAAAGTATTTTTTGCTGACGCATAACAGAAAAAAAATCTCAATCATGCTTAGACTATCATACCTCGGTTCTAGTCGCCCAATTTTGCATATGCCCATCGCAATAATCAAATTCAGGTTCAAATTGAATGACCACTAAATTCAAATACTAAGCAACAAGACAACAAGTCGACAACAGTGATTTGTTCTAAACCCCTATGGATCCACCACCTCTCATCCGGTAGGAAATGAATTTTCTGAACATTTAAGAATGACATAACAGAAATATCTCAATCATGCTTAGAATATCATACCTCGGTTCTGATAGTGTTTGAGGACACAGCGCCCTTCAACAGGATGGATGCTTATAGAGAAGTAAGAATTGGCATCGGGCAATGCTGTTCCTGGATCACTCAGTGCGATCGGCACCATGGGCAAGAGAGAGTATACGCAGTCATCGGCGCTCACCATCGTGATTACCATCTCCTGTACACAAACACTTGCGGGCTGTTGGGGTTGAGAGGATTCACCTGCATCAACATCGGTGGACGATGCCAGCTTCTCCACCTCCAACGTAGGCCCTTCCCATCCAGTGGGCTCGCCTTCATCGGCCGGCGATGGCCGGGAGGTTGTTGAAGTGGATGCCGCCACCACGCGCTCGGAAGAGGAAAACTCCCATGCTGGAAGGAGACGGTAATCCGAGGTGGTGGTGCCGTCGGCGAGGACGCCATGGATGTAGAGCTTGAGGAATTCCTCGGACCCGCCGGACTCCGCCATTGCTCGATTGGGGAATTGCGAAAACCCGGCCTGTTTGGGTGTAGGGAGTTGCTGATGGGGAATGAAAGTTCATGATATCAGACTTGGGAATTCGAGGGGGTTTGAGATGAGGAATTAAGAGGTCCAATTCCCACCAATTTCTTACCTGGGGGAGGCATGTTAATTCGTGAGACTTAAAGATAATTCGATGTGAAATCAAACAATGGATAGGGATTAAAAATATAACTCCTATGACCAATCTCACCATCAACTCTCTCGTTGAAACTCCTAGTCCTCCTCCCTTCTCTTGCCAAACAGGCTGTCACTATCCTAGCAGGTTGGATTTGAGGGAGGCGCGCGATGAGGATGAGAAAGGAGGAAGCATGGGTTTGGATTTCTTCGGGAGAACGAAATGCTAACCGGGAACGGGGAAGAGGCCGGAATTTGATTTTTTTGGAGGACACCGACAGGAGGGCTCCGCATTTTTTTTCTTGGACACGTCAGATTTTTATCCAACGGCTCCAAGTCGAGAAGCAGGGGCGGAAGCAGATACATGAGTCTCTGACAGGTGAGGCCCACGAGGAGCCTCGTCGGGACGGCGGGTGGGGGAAACTGGGGAGGCGGCCGTAGCGGGCCACGGAGGCGGCGGCGGCGGAGCAGATGCAGGGGAGGGGGAAGGAGGCGAGGCGGAGAGCGGCGGCGAGTAGGACGTATGGGGGGGGGGGGTCCCCGTCCGGGTCGTCGTGGTGGTTGAGCGATTCCGCATGATGCCCCGCCGCCGCCGCCGCTGGTATGCCGTCTCGTCGCACCTCCGTGTGTCCATTCCTACCTGCGCCGTTGCCGCCGCATTGGAGTAATAGGATCTTTTAATCCAACTATCTCTTGCTTGTTGAACGGTTGGATGCCGATCCGGGTCCCTCTCTTATAGCTATATATAGGATCTTATATGTACCCTTACCCTATATATATTTGGTAGTCCTCAATACACCGCCGCCGCAGCAGTACCATTAGCCCACCCACCTACGGCCGCCGGCGCTGATATTTGCCGATCTCTTGCCGCCGACCCCGCCGCAATAACCACACCAGCTTTATCTTCCACTTCTACAGCACTGCATCAACCACAATGGATAACTTAGATGATGTTGCCTTCGACATCAACGAGTAATCATATGTTCATATGGAATTTGTAACTTTATATCCGAAGAGTTTGTAGTAATGGCACGTCAGTTTTCTTGTAGGGATAACGTGGTGATTAATTCTGATGAGAAGTTTGCAGTACTGAGGAGCATAGGAGATGAATGCATCTATGAGGATGAACTCCTCGGCCTGCTGAAGAATAAGCCCAGTCCTACATGCTGTGTTTGGTTTGAGCCATCCACCAATATGGACATAGAGCAGGTACAGCACACACAAACAGTAAATACATGAATAAAGGGAATCTTGGAATTACTTAGGCCATTCTCTACCTAATGCATCAGTATAAACAGTTAATTGCTGATAGTTCATACTTTTAATATATTGTTTGCAAATGAATTGGATGTATCGATCTGTCATCATACAGGGGATTATGAAGACAATCTATGTCAACAGGATGGTCAAAGCTGGTTGTGCAGTCAAAATTGTGACGGCAGATTGGTTTTTGCAGCGTCATTATAAGATTGGCAACAACCTAAGTAAAATACGGAACATTGGCTATCTCAATATTGAGATGTGGAAAGCAGCTGGCATGGACCTTGACAGGGTAGAGCTTGTGTGGTTGTCAGATGAATTGAATCTCCATGCAGTTGATTACTGGCCAGTTGCCATGGATGTCTCCAGAAGATATACCATGACAAGAATTGCAAGGTATTATTTCCTTCTTTTGCATTTTTAGGTTCTCTTCACTTGCAAACCTTGAACTTGTTCATTGCATAACCAAATCAGTCTTTGTTCTTGTAAGAAACAAATCACATCATTACTGTTTGCCAACCAGGATCTTTTGGAGTAATGCAGAACATGGGCCACAAATACTTCCTGCTGCTGAGATAATTTATCCTTGCATGCAGGTTGCTTCTATATTATGCGAGAAGGTTGGTTTTTAGAAATTAGTCAATTAGAGGAATACAAATTATTGTAAGTGATTGAAGATGAACATAATGATATATACCATTCACAACATTGCACAGGATACTATATCATACATTATGTGAAGAGAAAGCCCTGTGAACAGACACATTAGGATTTTCATTCAAAATAATAACAAAAAAGCTTAAGGCTGACAAGCTATTGTGGAGTAGATTGGTAGGTCTGTCTGTTTATTAAGTTCCTCAAATAAGTTACTCAGTTTTCAATAGGTAGTTAGGTACGTGAAACCTTGAAAAACAGCGCACCATATTTCCCATTCTGAATGCCTGCAAATGATGCCGGGATGAAGCTTCTGTTGACAGAAAACACGAGGCCTGGGAGATCTGCTTAACTCCAGTGCAGGTCCAAAGCTCGCCTTCGAATGTATGAGCGTGCCAGTTGATTTGATCCTGTAATCAACAAGAAATAGAGACAAAGAATTCGTGGTTAAATCTATAAATGATAGCCGATCGGCTAGGTGCTGATGACATATCATTTATCTTTGAGCCAATGTCATATATGAATCGATCGGCGGTTATAAATAGATAGTAAGGAACTAAATCTATTCGATCGGCTGTAGATATTAACGATATATAGTTCTTATATTAATATATACTTAAATCAAGTGATTGGGATAGATCGGTCACCATGCCGAGACAGTATAAATCACTTAGATCGAAATATATATTAATAACAGGATTATATATGTTTATAGCATAGCCGATCAGATAGATCTAGCATGTATCGGCTAATACTCCGATACTACTTTATATAAAGATATCAAAATAAATATAATATACCAAACAAAAGCTTAATATACTTAAATGCAATAAGATCCTGACATAAAGGGCGGATTTAACATGTCATTGAAGCATATAGATCGAATATGGTTAAATCAGATAAGATCGGCTGAAACTCCGATACTACCCTAATCGGCAACCAGAGGACAGGCTAGAGATTGATATTCTAAGCACGACTTAATAGATCAAACTCAACTGATGCAGCATTAAGTATGAAAAAAAGAACAATATCTAGACAATCAAGCCGCTGGGTGTTTCATAAAGTGGTAGATATCTTATATGATCTAGGACAACGTCGCTATTTAACCTAATCGGCTGCCTTCTATTAACAGATGTTAGCCGATTGTAGATTAGATTACGATATTGCCAAGGATTATGTAAGATATATGATAACTTGACGAATTATATAGACAAGATTAGAGTGTCATAAAGATGGAAGCGCTAATCTCGAGAACACAAGTCGTCATAACAAGTTTTACCTCTTGTTGAAGATCGAAACCGATGCAGCTCAACCCGAAAGCAAGAACTCGTCGAAACAAAACTAAAGCAAAAAGGTGGTGATGCGCCGAAATTGTATTGAACGTGTGTGTTAAAAATTACATAGGGCTCGGGGTCTATTTATACCCGAGAATTACAAGATATGTCCATACCGGACACGACCACTATCTCTAACAAACTCTAAGATACCTCTTTGCGGCAGACTTTTGCCCAAACATTTCTCTAAGGAAGTTACATAAAACATCGTAATTAATAGATACAATTGTCTTCTCAGGACTCTATCCACGTGCGGCAATCATCTTGAAGCACCTCAATTCAACCCAATGTCATACACCAAATTATACTGTCAGAATCGGCTGCATCGGCTCACCTAGTCTGACTCAGACCCAGCCGATCTTAATCGTAGCCGATCCTAACTTGGGTCACTGGAAGAATACTTTCAAGTCTTGGCCATCTCTCGAAAAGCCTACCCTTGATAAGAGCTGGACCACCTGGTACCAACGCATATCGGCTAGTAAGAAAGCCTAGTGGGATGAGATTGGGATCGGCCAAGTGCTTGCTCTCACCATAGCCAATTCTGCTAAAAGGATGAACCTCTGATGGCTGCCGCCACCTATTTCTGGTCCAACACCATCAATGCCTTCTTATTTAACTAAGGGCCGATGACTCTAACTTTGATCGACATCATCATGATTACTGGATTAGATGTAACTTTATCGGCTAACCCTATGAGTATGAACACCAAGAACCAATTTGACTTCAAGACCAAAAGCATAGAAGGGTGGTCTGGTTATGTAGCAACATACATGGGCAAAGGGCCTGTCACTCCTCGGGAGCACGTAGCTTTCTTGCTAATGTGGCTAGAAAAGTTTCTCTTCTGTGGATCCAGCTGTGGTCCCACAACCAATTGGCAATTTGTAGCCGAAGCCTTAGGATCAAAGAAACAATTTCCCTTGGGCAAAATCCTTCTCGGCTATCTATACCAAATGTTGAACAATGTATCGGCTAAGATAGCCATCGGCTCAATAGTTGGAGCAGGTGGACCGTGGTGGCTACTGCAGACCTGGCTAAACCTGGTAGTCATGAAAGTTGTCAATCGGCCATCTATAACAGAAGCTGAATTCCCAAGGTTGGAGCCAATTGTAGAAGACGATGGAGAAGAATGCACCCATCGCAGATGCATGTCATATGGAGAATATGCATCCACACCAACCGATGCTGGGGCAAAACTATCGGCTGAGCTGCTCAAAGATTGGTTCTGCAGTTTTTATGAAGGCTTCCAGAAAGATGTCCGGCTTTGGTTTCTTTATGAAGACTCAGCAGACCTTGAGCTCTGATTAGACTTCAGATTTGAAGACATCAATCATGAAAGATATCAAACGTCCATGGAAGTCTTTACAGCTGCAATCAGCCCATGCATCCTACCTGTCGGTATTCACCAAGGAAGAAATATCCAAGTCTCCTACGAATTCTATCACCCTATAAGTTCAGCTAGACAACTTGGATTAGGCCAACTCCCAATCGGCTTATTCTTTGCTGACAAGATCCAATGCCGAGGAGAAATTTATTCAACTCTAATGAAGGATCGACTGCTTAACCTCCAAGGACCTCCCTTAGGCAGTATCGACAATATTGAGTTAGCAGGATTCAGGAGCAGGAACTTTGACAGATGGTGGGGTGAATGGAAGTTGCATCTATTTCATCAATCGGCCACAATGTGCATGACAGATCTATTCCCTGACGTCATACCCCAGGTAAACTTTGTCATCACTAAATTTCATAACGGTTAGCCGATTCATTACTTGACTAATCTTTTGTTCCTGTTTTGCAAACAACAGAGTCCTCCCCTCCACATCAGAGCAATAGTGGTAGGAACATTGAATATGCCCCAGGTCTGATTCCTAATGGAGGCGGATTGTCTCCCCCTGTCATCGGCTATCATGCCCCCAAGGTCTAAACCCTCCTCCAAGGCGCCATCAGGGAACCAACCGATGTAACCAAGAAAAGGAAAATTAGATCATAGGCTGTGAGCACCTTGACTCTAGCTCCAAAGAAAAAGGCCAAGTCTAAGAAAACCAAGCCAACCGACGACCTGCCTGCTTTGGATTCATCCATTGAACAAGCTCTGGATGAAGAAGATATTGAGGATGATGTTGATCAGGCTGCAGCCGAAGTAAGTGATACTGAAAAAACACCATCGGCTTCGCCTAAGCAGATACCTTCAACTCCTTCTGCCCCCACTCACTTCTTCAGAGTAAAACATCTTTCGTTGCAAACCTTTTTATAATCATTATTTTTCAGCCAACTACTCATAGGTTTTGTAGTTGCAGAAGAAGAAAACTGCTATAAAGAAGAAATCGGCAGCACCAATTCTCAAACCAGCTCCACCAGTAAGACACTCAATTTTACTAGTTGATTTCAGCCGATTTTGTCTAACACTTGTCTTTTTACAGCCTCCTCCTCCTCCTCCTTCTTCTCCTGTACAACAATCATCGAGTGACCGAACTCCATCGGCCGTGGGGAGTCATCATATTGTGGAAGAAGAACAACCGGCTGCTCCTGCTATCCCAGTAAGTTTTCCTTTGATGCAAGAATTTAGATCGACTATATTAACTTAGCTCTCAAACTTTCTAAACTTATACCTGCAGGTTCTAGCCGATCTTTTTTCTTTTGATATCAAAGATTATCTTGATGAGGCAAAAGAAGATATTTCAAGTAAAGCTCTAGCTCCCTTATCTGACGATGCAAAGAAAACACTTGAAGATATCTCGCGTCGGCTAGAGGCCTCCTCTGGATAGCTTAGTGGTCGACTGTGGATCGATTAGGACACGATTGCACGAAGTTCAAGCTCTAATTCCTGAAGAACTGGCCGATGTCCTAACTCCAGCCGCTTATCTTGAGCAACATCAATTTAAACTAGAAAAAGCCAAGCTAAGATTAGCCGAACGCCGTGAGCGCAAGGAGATTGAAGCCACAATCCAAGTCAATCGGCAGCTTGTGCATGAAGAAAAAGTCAAATTCGATCAGCTATCCGAAGGTCCGATCAAATCCAATATCGATCGGCTTGAAGCCCGCAAGATCGATCTCTTGGCACAGCTTGAAGAATGCAATGCTGAATTGGATATGGAGCACAAAAAGCTAGCCGATCTCCCAAAATCTGTCGAAGAGCAAAAAGCAAGGCTCAAATCGGCTATCAAGAATGTTGCTGACCTAACCAAGTCCCTGAAGATCATTTCTGGAACTGATGCTCAGGATGCTCAAGCCATTGAAGAAGTCGAACAAATTAGGCAAAGAGATATTTCGGCTATCCAGCAGTACTTGTCTCAATAACTTTTGTGTAATAGGACTTGGAAATTCTTGTAATCGGTTAAGATACCTTAATACCCTATTGTTTTAACAATCCTTTGTGCCGATTAACATAACTTCTAATTTTCACTTTCATTTTTTGTATATATGTGCCCCCCCAATTTTATAATGTCAACAGCATTGATAAAATTAGAAAAACAACTAAGGGCGAACAATATCGGCCGTTATATATCGGCAAACCATAACCGATTACAATTGGAAAAACAACTAAGGGTGATATAACAATATCGGCCATCTCAAGACGATGTAAAACACATCGGCTGTCATGCATCAGCAACACTAGCCGATCATGCGTCAACCCAAACACTTGGGTAATACTTCTTCAAGTATTTGCCATTGAGCGCTCGTCCATAAACCTCACCATCAAGCCCTTGCAACATATATGCTCCTTTAGACACAAGCTTATAGATTTGAAACGGTCATTCCCAATTCGGTGACCACTTGCCGAACTTGTTATCCCGAGTTCCAATCGGCAAAATCAACTTCCATACAAGTTCACCTTCCAAAAAATCCTTAGGCACTACTTTCTTGTTATAATGCCTAGCAACTCGTTCCTTATCTTTGTTAACCTTAGCAAGGGCTTGTAAACGCGATTGAACCAAGTCCTCCCTCTCATCGGCCATAAGGTTATAATACTCATCGGCTGTCAAACCGTCTTGCAATTCTATCCTTCTAGAGCCGATTCTAACTTCCCATGGCAAAACAGCCTCATGTCCATAAACAAGCTTATAAGGAGGAACTTGAATTGATCCATGACAAGCCATCCGATAAGACCACAATGCTTCGGCCAACCGGGTATGCCATTGCCGAGGATAATCAGAAATCTTCCGCTTAATTAATTTGATCAAGCTCTTGTTAGATGCCTTGGCCTGCCCATTAGCTTGTGCATAATATGGTGAAGAATTCAACAATTTGATACCCACGCTATCGGCAAACTGAACAAACTCATCGGACACGAAGATTGAACCTTGATCAGTTGTAATAGTTTGCGGAATACCAAATTGGTAGATTATATGTTCTTGAACAAATTGAATTGCATCCCCAGAATCAACTTTCTTCAAAGGAATGGCCTCCACCCACTTGGTGAAATAATCAGTCGCCACCAATATAAACTTATGCCCTTTACTTGATGGTGGGTTTATCATACCGATCATATCAATTCCCCAACCTCTAAATGGCCGACGCCGGCGCCGGCGCTCGTTGAAGGATTCATAGCCAACGCCGGCGCTCGTTGAAGGATTCATAAAGGATTCATAGCCGACGCCGGCGCTCGTTGAATTGCCCCAAACTTCTGACAATCTTGACACCCCTTATAATATCTGAAGCAATCCTCCAGCATTGTCGACCAAAAATACCCTGCATGCCGAAGTAACCACTTCATCTTATGGGCCGATTGGTGAGTGCCACAAATTCCTTCATGAACTTCGCCGATTGCAACTTTAGCCTGATCGGCACTCAAACACTTAAGTAACACTCCATCAATCGTCCGATAATAAAGCTCATCATCCAATAGAGTGTACTTCAACGCCTTATATCTTAATTTCCTAGAAGCCGATTGAGATGGATTATGTAAATATTGATGCACATCATACCTCCAATCATCGGCTGTTATTGCTGCAATTTCAACCTTAACATCTTTGATCATCGGCTTATACCCCGATGCCCCTTGGGCCAAATCATTAGCTTCAATATTTTGTTCTCGAGATACATGCTTTAAAGTAACCAGCCGAAATTCCTTCATCAGTTCTTGACACTTCTCATTATAAACTATTAACGTATTCTTACATTCATACTCCCCTGCCAATTGACTGATTACCAGCAAAAAATCTCCCATGATTTCAATAGCATCGGCTTTAACTTCCTTGAGCAATCGCAACCCTTTAAGCACTGCTTCATACTCAGCTTGATTATTAGTCGCATAAGGTTTAATAGTATAAGCAAACTCGAAACATGCCCCCCTAGGGGAAATTATAACTAGGTCGATACCACAACCATGAGTACACACCGATCCATCAAAGAATAAAGTCCATGGCACCATTTCAACCGAGCCGATTGAATCATCATGATGTTCCACAATAAAATCGGCTATAGCTTGTCCCTTAATCGCCTTCGGTGACTCATACCGAAGATCAAACTCAGTTAAGGAAAATATCCACTTTCCAACCCTTCCTTTCAATATTGGAGCCGTTAACATGTATCTAACAACGTCGGCCTTGCATATAATAGTACATTCATTGGACAGTAAATAATGCCTTAACCTCGTGCATGAAAAATATAAACATAAGCATAACTTCTCCACAGGAGAATATCGAGTCTCTGCATCCAAGAGCCGACGACTGAGATAAAATACAACTCGTTCTTTTTCATCCAACTCCTGAATCAAGACTGAGCCGATTGACTTCTCACCGGCCGACAGATACAATCTAAAAGGTATCCCTTTCTGTGGAGGAATCAAAACAGGAGGGGAACTCAGGTATCCTTTAATATTATCCAAAGCCTTTTGCTGCTCTGCCCCCCAAGTAAACTGCTGATCGGCCTTCAATCTCAACAATGGTGTAAAAGGTTCTAATTTTCCGGACAAATTAGAAATAAACCTTCGTACAAAATTAATCTTGCCGATCATCTCCTGCAATTCGGTCTTGTTTTCCAGGGGCTTAATCTTTTTGATCGCATTGATACTTCTCTGAGTTATCTCAATTCCCCTCTCATGGACAAGAAATCCCAAGAACTGGCCAGCCGATACACCAAAGGCACACTTTGTCGGATTCATCTTCAAGCCATATTTCCTGGTCCTCTCGAAAACTTTTCTTAAATCGACTATGTGGTCTTTTATTTCCTTAGATTTAACAACCACATCATCAATATAGACCTCAACCAGCCAGCTGATTAGATCATGATAAATATAATTCATGTCCCGTTGAAATGTAGCTCCAGCACTCTTCAAGCCGAAAGTCATAACAACCCATTCAAATAAACCGATTGCACTAAGACATCTAAAAGCTGTCTCATGGATATCTTCTTCAGCCATAAAAATTTGATTATACCCTGCGTTTCCATCCATAAAACTCAAAATTTTGTTCCCTGACGCAGCATCAACCAGCTGATCGGCTACTGGCATTGGATATTCATCTTTCGGTGTAGCTTTATTCAGATCTCTAAAATCAATGCATACCCTCACCTTGCCGTTCTTCTTGATGACATGAACTATGCTAGAAACCCACTCAACATATCGGCAAGGACGAATAAAACCAGCATCATATAAACGCTTAATCTCAGCTTTGACAGGTTCAAGCATATCAGCTTTGCATCTCCTCGGAGGCTGCTGGTGCGGCCTAACCCCTGGCTTGATAGGTAGCCGATGTTCTACAATTGATCGGTTGAGTCCAGGCATCTCATAATACTCCCAAGCGAAGCAATCTCTAAACTCTTTTAAGAGCTCTATCAGCTTGGTTCTAAATTCTGGAGACAAATTCTTACTAATAAATGTCGGCCTTGGCCGATCGCCTGGACCTATATCTATTTCTTCCAAATCATCGGCCGATATAAAACCCTAACCTTGCTTGCTATCGAGATCATCTACCGTATCCTTAGTGTAAACACTTGAACTCTCCACGACGCCCTCAAAATAATAGCTTGGGTTCTCCATCTTCAACTGGCTGTATATCAGAATCGGACACTTTTAGAAAATCTCCATTCCAAACTTTTCCAGATAAACAATCAAGGCCATCCATCTCCCAAAGAGCTAAATCAGCACTGGCAACATTAACTGACCTGTCGGCTGGTACGATATCTATTTTGTCGCCTTGCCACTGAATCAAGCATTGATGCATAGTTGAAGGAATACAACAATTGGCATGAATCCAATCCCTTCCAAGCAACAAGCTGTAAGAACCCTTACCATCGATGACAAAAAACGTGGTAGGAATAGTCTTACTGCCGACTGTCAGCTCCACATTTAGAACACCTTTGGTTTCCGATGGATTGCCACCAAAGTCCTTGAGCACCATATTTGTCTTGATGAGATCATCGGCATTTCTACCCAACTTCCTGAACGTGGCATAAGGCATCAAATTCACCGCGGCCCCACCATCAACCATCATTTTAGACATCGGCTACCCATTGACATAGCCATTTATATACAATGGTTTAAGATGCCGATTCTCTGTCCCCTCAGGCTTTTTGAACACCGCCTGTTCTGGTGATAGAACCAACTTAGCTAATTCCTCTTCCACCTCGTCGACATCGGCTTGATCGATGCCGAATTCGGCTGGCAAGGTAAAAACCATGTTAACTGGTGTTGTCACAACACTCTTTCCTTTTGCCAACCACTTTGCCTCATCAGCTGCAACATCGTCGGCTACAGGAGCCTGATTTTTAACACGCCACTCCTGCCTCGGTTTTGCTTTCTTCAGCCGATGATTAATTTCTTGCTCGACCTCCTGGAAGCGTTCCCTACTCCTCAATCTTTGAACCCTTCTTTTCTGATTCTTCGTAAAAATATCAGGAGGACACCATTGAGTCTTCTTATTTTCGTCACCTTCCGAGTCACCACGTTGGTTTACCGGGCCCAATCTCTGATGAATAGGCACTCTTGTCTGTTTTAGCCAATTGCCTCCATCGTACAATCGGCTTGAACCCCCTGCAACATCACTGCATCCAGGACAATCCTCGATAGATGGTAACCTCATACCTTCATTCCAACAGAACCCGAAGAAATAACAACCCAATGAGGATCAAAGCCACCATTATCTTCTTCATGGTGCCTTTCCTGTTTCTTGTCGTATTTCCTTTGATATTTGTTTATAATTCTAGCCGAACTTACTAGATAACCCCTCATGCGCCCCGTATCAGCTGTTCGGCCAGCTGTGTGTACCATGTTAACGGGAAATGGGTTACCATCGACCCTCATCGGCTTTTTGGAATCATCAAACTTAATCTTGCCTCCTTCAATGGCCACCTGAATCTGTTGTCTAAACACCTTGCAATCGTTAGTAGAATGGGACCCAGAATTATGCCATTTGCAATATCTCTTTTTGCCTAATTCCTCAGCCGATGGAATCGTATGACCA